TAAATATTCTTCTTAATTCGAATATTCTTTTTAATTTAAATACTCTTCTCGATTTAAATAACTTTCAAATTATTTTTAAAGTTTATTAAGCGAAGAGAGATTTTATAATTATAAAATATATACGTAAATATTATAATTAGAAAGAGAAGAGAGAGCGAGCTCTTCTTTAATTAAAGAGATATTAATATACTTTAAAAAGTATCTAATTAAATATTCCGACGTTAAAGACTACTATTAGATTAATTTATAATTTCTTATAACTTAAAAAACGCTATCGTCTATAACGAGGGCTATTATTTAAAGTTTTCTTAAATTATTAATAGTTTATATAATAATATTAAAATTAAGATATATTATTTTAAAAATATAATAAATTAGAAGAAAGTCTTAACGTAAGTTATTATAGAAGATATAAGATAATAAGAGTTATTAATAATCTATATAATAATATTAGAATCGAGATATATTATTTTAAAAATATAATAAATTAGAAGAAAGCCTTAACGTAAGATATTATAGAGAGAGATTTATATATATTATTACTCGCTATATTCTTATATATATAATTATTTAAAAATTAAAACTTCTAATTTAAAAAAGTCGATTTCGATTTTATAAAAAAGATATTTAATATTTTAATAAGTATTAATATATATAAATTTCGAAGAAATTTAAATATTAAGAGAAGAGATTAGTAGAGTTAAGATTAAGTAATAAAGATATAAATATATATTATCGATCTTTATATATATTATATTAATTTTAACGCGGTTATAGCGATAAAAAAGCGTATTAATAACGATTTTCCTTCTTAGATAATTAGCGCTTATAAGATATATTATAAATAATAATACTTTTATCTTTAATAGAAAAGATAGATTACTCGATATAATAATATAAATTTATATATATAAACTTAATATCTAATAATAGTATTATTAAGTTAAGTCGAATTAAGCTTATAGTATAACTAAGTCGAGTCGAATCTAGCTTATAGAGTTAAGTCGATATCGCGAATTATAGAAATAATAAAATATTAATATAAGACGATTATTATTTCTAGAAAAATTATTTAAATAATATATAGTAATTACTAAACTAGCGAATATTATTCGAATAATATATAGTAATTACTAAATTAACGAATATTATTCGAATAGTATATAGTAATTATTAAATCGATAAATAGTATTTTAATAGTAAATAGTAATTACTAAACCGGTGGATAGCGTATGAAAAGCAGATCATAGTTACTAATTAGGCGGAATTTAGGCGAATTATACGCTTTCGATAGAGCTTTCTATATAATCTATATATTATAAATATATATAATCTATAATCTTAAGAAGATATTTATATATCTCTTCGTCATCGCTATTAATATTAGAAATATCGTTTTACGCGTTTCTTTCTAATATCTCGCTATCGCCTTATACTTCGTATTTATCTTTAAGCATATAATTTAAAACTATTTCGAGGCGCTTTATATTTATATCTCTTATATTATAATCTTAAAAGCTTATCTTAAGATCTCTATTAATATATAATCGACTTTATATAATATCGCTAATATTTCTTAACTCCGTTTAAATAGCGATATTTTTATATTCTCTAACTAAAAAATATAAGATCTAATTTCTTTAAATAATAAAATTTTAATTAATTATACTCTAAATCTTCTCATTTATATCTCGAATCTTATTATTAAAATAGATCTAATTATTATTAAATTAAATCACGCGTCTAATAATAAAAAGTAATACTTACTATACGAGATTTATCTTACTATAAATTACCTCGAGATATTCTTTCGAAATATTTATTATAGATTCTTTCGAATTATTTACTATAGGTTCTTTCGAATTATTTACTATAGATTAATTTATTAGCTATTTTAGAAAATAAGTTATAGTTAATTTTAATTTAGCTATTTCTTCGATAGATATAGTTTCTCGAGATATTCTTTTTCTATACTATTTACTAGCGATATTTCTCTTCTTCTTTCTTTATAAAAGTGATTTTTTAGAAAACTCGCTTACGCTACTTAGATTATTAATTAACGTATATATATAATTAGAAGAATTAAGAGTTGAACTTAATCGTCTTAATTCTATTAATTATATTAATATCACGAATAAAGATATAGAATAACGAGATATAAAATAACGAGATATAAAAAGATAAGGTGTAGAAGGAATATCGTTAATACTACTCTCGCCGTTAATACTATTATTAATATTATCGTCTTAAATAGTAATCTCATTATTTTCACCGTCGAATATATTAATAATAATATTCTTCTTCTTATTATCTATCCTCTCATTAAAACGCTCGCGATCTCGATTATAATATTTTAAGTCTTAAAGCTTCTTTTCTTTAGCTACTTTATTAATATTCTTCTTCTTTTTAAAGATCTAAATTACTATATTCTAATTATTTATCATCTAAGTCTATATATCCTCTCATACCTTATAACTATAGTCTACTTTTTTATTCTATCTTAGCTAATCATACCTATAATTAAGATACTTCTTTATACAATATTCAACACTCGCGTAATCTCGCTTAGCAACCTTTACGAATTTCTCTTATACTCTTTTCCAGAATCGCCTTATCGAGTTTACTTCATATCTCGCTTAATATTTAAAAGTAATATCTATAATAAGAACCTTATTATTCTCTATTAATCGCTTTTCTACTATAAAACGCTAATTTAGCTATTATCTATAATAACGTTTTCTTAATATATATAGTATAAGAGCCGAAGCTAAGATTTAAGAGTTCTTTATTAATCGACTACTATTAGTTCAATTCCGTAGATTCTTTATTATTTACTTTTATTTATTTATATATAATCTTATAGCGTTAAGATCATTTTATAGGGATAAATTATTATTATCTTTCTCCCCAGCTAACGATATATATTTCTTCTTTTTATTCTTTCTCTTATATATAATTTAAAAACTCTTTCTTTTCTTCTAAAAGGCTTTCGAATAATATTATTTCTTTTCTTTTCGCTTATAAGAGAAAGTAGTTAGATATTATAAAATCGTAAGATCTTTATCTTATTAGTAGTATATTAGAGATTTCTTAAAGTTAATTAAAAGTATAATAGATCGTATTTCAGACGAATAGAAAAGGAAAGTAGCGCGATAATAATTTAATATAGCTTTAAGAGATCTATATATTATAAAGAGTTATTAACTTACTAATAAAGTAGAATTTTCTAATAAAATAAAGGCGACTTCGAACGATATAAGATCGTTTTTTCTAGATTAGAACTTTTTTATAGATCTTATATTTAACGTATAAATACTAGAAATCTCTTTTCGCTTAATTATTACTTATTAGAAGATAGAAGATATATATAATAAAAGCTTAATAGGTCTACTAGCTAATTATTTAATTTTATATATCTAAATAAGTAGTTACGCTAACGCCGTATAGAGTAACTTTATAATTAAATTATTATTTTATAATATAAAATAGTGATTTAATTTGTGAATAATTGATGAGGCTAATAACTACTCTATATGGTTAGCCTATTGGATTATTACCCTTTTCGTTTTGAATCATTCTTTTGAATCACATTGCTAAACCTGTCTAATACAGTAGGCAGCGACCCAAAAAAAGACAAAGACTTGGGAGGGACGCCGTCATTGAAGAGGAAAGAGCATGAGCATCGGATGTACAGCGTGACATGAGAGGAAAGAAAGTTCCAGGCGCTAGTGGTCGTACGCTGATGGAATGGTTCGTTGGTCCTCAGGAGAATTTGGCCACTCCGGTGAACAAAGGAATATATAGGTAAAGTAGCCATAAGTTGTTGCCAAGTATGCTGACTACTACTGGTAAGGCGGACTTCACAGCACTGACATGCAGATGAGGCTGAGCGAATGGAAATCTGCTGGCTGAATTGCAGACAAGGCTGAGAGCCCATCCCATCTCGAAACGAGGCGCTCCTTCCGGTGTTCGACGTGTCACGGAGGGAGAGGTCGAGGGATTGGAAAAGAAAAAAAGAGATTGCGTTCGAAGCATCAAAAGAGAAGATAGTATGCCAGCATGAGGGCGAATGGGGTGTTGTCAAGTCTGGAGACATCAGTGAAGTAGCTGAACTTCCCGAGTAGAGCCGCTTTGCAGAAAATCAAACGTAGAAATCTGCAAAGTCCATTCAATCAAGTCTTCGTACCGCCGTTTCCTTGGGCTCAAAGCGAATTTTGGTTAGCTAACCTGTTTCAAGTAACTTCTGATGGGACACGACTACAGCTCTAGCTCGACATATCGGCTCGAGGGCATAGATTGAATGAAAAAGGCTTTCCTCATCCGCTCCGAAGAGCTATCATAAAGACTGCGTGCAATCTCCGTGTCATCACTCGGGCCCGCACAAGCACATCCAGGTTATCGTCATCAACTCTCCTATCACCTAGTCGCTGCTTCAGTAATATACCAGGGGATGGCCACCAACGGTGGTCCGGACTCACTATTATTTTCCCTCCATGAGCTCCCAATTTCACTCATTGGCTGGTGCCCAACCACTCTACGCGGATAACCCTGTTGGCCTCTTTCGATTCTCGAGCAAGTCTACTTCGAGATCTGACACTGAGCCAAGACAAACGAAAAAGAATGTGGCTTGCAGAAGAGCATTTACATTGAAAACCCCAGCATTTACAACACGTTATTCTGCTGCAAGAGGAAAATCACCAACTCCAAACGCCGGCTGGGATTAGAATATGTCTTCCATCGCCAAGCTCCAACCAAGATCACGTCGCATTCTATTGGTGCGGCAAGAGAAAGGATTGCGAGATCGACTTTGATTGGAGGCTAGGTAGGAAGGACGCATTAAAGTCGCATAACCCACGTCATTGTCGAAGCCTGGGCAAGTCCATGCATGCACCCCGAAGATAAAGGAGTGATGACGATAAGGTGCATGAGAAGCGAAAGAAAGTTCAGAAAGTCTTGTGCATTACAGTAATGCTATCCCGGGAGTCGAGACACCATCAAAAATGGAATCCTTTCTTACCGTCCTGGCAACCACGCTCTGCGTCGCTAATGCTCAACTGATCTCCCGCGACAATACCACGCTGAACTCTCCGGCGTCTTTACAGTCCAATCTCACCCGATATGCAATTCTTGATAATGACTGGAGTCCAACGGCATTCATACCATATCTTTTGGCTTTAGGAGCTGGGATGGAGGTTCTGGGTCTAGCCAGTGGTACAGCTGATACCTGGGTCGACCAGACTACTCTGCACGGAGTAAGCCTCCCGAGGTGCCCAATCCGTATCTCGACAATGATGCATCTTACAAAGAATCTAGCTTGCAATCCTCGAAAGAGGAAACCTGTCCTGCATTCCCGTGGTAAAAGGCGAGACATATCCTCTGATACAGACATATCAACGATTTCAGCTATGGCAACAACTTTGGGGGAGTGTAGAATGGCAAGGAGCGTTTGCCCCGGAAAACCTGACCGCTCAGTCTTTGGGCAATGACCCCACAGGCAACGATCCATCTCAAATATCAAGATCCGCGTTCATAGAGGGTTATCCAAATATCAGCGCTCTCGAAGGATACAGCGCTGCTCAATTTATGGTGGAACAAGTGCATAAGTACCCCGGCCAGGTGTCGATTTATAGTGCCGTAAGCAGTCGCCTCCAGAACCGACGAATCAAATAGTATCACGCCAACTGACCAGCTGCAGGGCTCGTTGACGAACATCGCCACCGCCATCCGCCTCGACAGCACCTTCGCCAGCACCGCCAAAGAACTCGTCATCATGGGCGGCTACGTCGACCTCAACCTCTACCAACTCCAATCCGCCCAAGCCGAAGACATCGGCTCCGACATCAATTTCCTCATCGACCCCGAAGCCGCCCACATCGCCGTCACGGCGCCTTTCCCTTCCATCACCATCGCTGGAAACGTGGCGAATAAGCAGTACTTGTCTCAGAGCATGCTCGATCGCATCACATCGAATGACAATGCTTATGCGCAGCTGATGAAAGGTTATGATATCGCATTGCCGCTATGGGACGAGACGGCGGCTGCCATCATGGCGTTTCCGGATCTGGTTACGAGTCAGGTGAAGGCGTACATGGATGTTAATACGGCTTTCGACTGTCCGGATTTGGGCAGGACGCATTTGTGGTCGAAGGAATTTGCGCCGAGTCATACGAGGGAGGTGAATTATGTTCTTGGTATCAATCAGACGGCGTTTTTTGAACATGTCGAGCAAGTGTTGATGGACCCTGCGTCGTGTCGCTGATAATACTGAGCGAAAGCTCACGATGAACACTTTGGGAGGTGTTTATGCTTGTAACCATGGCTAAGCCAAAAGTTTGCTTATTTTTCATACTTACATTACATACACTAAACATTTTTTTATGGCCAGTATGTGGTCGCACATATCCTTTCCGGCCATCAACCAAGACACTCTCTCACAGGTGGAGCGACTGCGAAATTTTCCTGGCTGCCCTGGGTTTCCAAGCTTTCTTGAAGATGATCCTCGAGACCGCAAAAGACGGCCAGAGGAAATTTCTGTAGGGGTTTCAGACCGGCCTTGCCCGATTTGCAATCGCTACTGTTCAGTATTCATTTTCTACCTTCATTCCATATGCAAAGAACATGAGATTCTATGAAATCCCAATAAAAACAAAGTAGCGTCACCCTCCTCCTTGGGCAGCGGCGGAAGCGGTTTGTTCAAATTCGGACGTGGAAGTGGAGGGAGAGGCTTCGATGTCACGGCACCTGGGCGCGAGGGTAATGCAGCCCCCGTGGGACCGTCGTACTGACCGGGTCCTTCGGTTTGTTCGGGCATGATGTGAGGGAGTAGAGTCGAGATGTTCAGACGCTGTGTCGTTATGCTGTGTCGGGGACTTGTAAATCACGACTCTAATAGCTATGATAAGATCAAGATGCACGCATGTATGCTTTCAAAATCCTCGTCAGAAATGTTCTGCGGAAGGTGGCTAAGGTCTTCACTACATCTTCTGCGCACTGCGTCTTTGGCATAATGATCGTGTCTGCACTCTTTGGTAAGTTGGAACAAAGCGGCCGTTGTGCTTGCTTGTTCTGCGTTGTCCGGAACAACAGGTTTGCGAAGGGTGGTGTGCTCGGAATAAAGAAACTTTGTTCGGTGCAACAGTGCTGTGAGGACTTCTTTGAGCTGGTGTCAGGAGTGCTCCGGAAAGGAGCTTTGTGGTGATTGAACATCTTGTTCGGCAAACGCAAGATATGGTGGATATGTGCGCTGAGTTGGATTGTACGGCGGTTTCAATGGTGGGGGTGGGGTGCTATAATTTGATGAGTATGGTCATTGAGGTTTACGCGCTAGGAGCCGTGGCTATGTGGGATGTGATGGCCAACTAATTTGCAGGTTTTGCGCTTTAGTTTGTGGGTGAGAAATGACACAGTGGGAACATAGCTGGTTGAGATGTTATAAGTCTTGCAAAGCATATTTCCTTCATATCTCGTAACGTTACAGACAAAAGCAAAAGTCATACACCCATTACTCCTTCCGCACTTACATCGTCAGACCCCAGCCTAGGCCTTTAAGCTCTTACTGAGCACAAAGCGGGACCGAAACGTACCCCTTCTCTGGCGTACCATCCGAGCAAGAAGGCACTCCGACCTGTGAAGGAGAGGCAGGCTCAAAATCCTCGAGACCAGTGTACCATTGAAATACTGTCTCTTTTGTCTCGCAGTCCAAGACAGATACATCCTCGTCATCAGCGACGGAAGAAGTAGCGATCCAGGCAGCAATTCTTTCCCTATCCGACTGGAATTGCGGTAGCTCCTCCTCTTGAGCAGCCAGGAACTCCGCTAATCGTTGCTGTTCGAAGTCAATCATGGGGACATAGGCTTGTGTGCCAGTGCGCCAGTTTTCTGGCTCTTCGTACTCGTCGGGCACAGAGTTTGGATAGCAAGCCTCGTAGCCGCCAGTGACGGTGTCTCCCTCGGGTTCGGCCGAACACAGGGTACGACGTCCGCAGTCATCGTATTCTGGATACTGGGCATCCTTATCGACTGCGGAATCGCGATTCTGTCTACCAGTGCGCCAGTCATCGGGTTCTTCGTACTCGCCGGTGACAGAGCAGGGGTACCATGCCTCGTATCCCATGACGGTGTTTCCGTCAGAGTCTTGGTAATACAGAATACGATGTCCGCAGTCGTTATAGACACGACGTCCCCACTCGTCGAGTTCGTGGGGGACGTTGATTAGCTCAAATAGTTCCATGTCGAGATTTTGAAGCAGCTCCTCTTCTGACTTCTTCGTTCCCGTCCAGTCGCCGAGGCGGTCTATGACGGGCCAGGCGGCTGCGGGAGGAGTTGCAAGAGCGATGGCTCTGGATGTTTGGATCTGATGGCACTTGGTGCATATGGCGCCATAGGGGATCATCGAGCATTCGTAGCAAGTCATGGCTGCGTCAAGTTCTGATGAGGTGAGGGAGCGGAGTTGAAGACGGTGGAGATTTTTGACGAAATCCTGGATCGAAAAGGTAGAAGGATCTATAGGTGTCTGGAAGTATCTGCGGTGTTGGAGTAGTGTATTTGATTAGTCGAATCCTGCTTGACTGTTGTTGTATATATTGTAATTATTTGAAGTTAGAATTGCACTGATGATAAGTAGGACTTTAGGTAGGTAAGAGTAGAGAGTATTTGAGCCAATTGAAGGCACAAGGTGCATTGTCTACCTAGAATGCGTTTGTTTGACATAGGTATACAATAGCATTTGCTTCTTTTGGGCTTGTTGTAAACAATCGCGGATTCAGGAAACAACGGTAATGAATGTTAGAGATTTGAAATGATAAAGTAGACTGAAAGGAGGCGAGACAATAATTGGTTCAGTCAATTCGGCTCCCTGGTTTTGTTGTACTCAAAGACAAAGCCGAACAGATAGGCAAAAATCAAATGAAGCATGTCAATCTACGGAAGCAGCGACTATGACACAATGCCGTTCAGCCTTTATCAGAGTATTGCATCTGCCAATGAACAATGTGCTCCTGGCTAACAAAGCGATGACACATTTTCTGTTAGCAAACAACAGACTCTTGGACCTGAAGTAAGACAAGGTCATTGTCGATGACACCGAACAATGACAAAACGGAGGGGCGGAGATACGCACAGACCAAGTCCTTGCCTTTAAATAACCTCGCCTGCATCCCCAATTCTTCCTCCTTCATATCCCTTCCACACCGACAAACAAATCCTACACACAAACATCGCATTAAGTAAGTCTTCAACCCATCTACCGCTGACAACCATCAGACCCAACTTCATTCACCATGGGTTGCACATCATCCAAAGAGTCCGCTCCCCGCAAATCCAAGCGTGTCAAGCTTTATGGCAGCGACACCCAACTTCCCGATCAGCGCTACCTTTCAGATCCGCTACCAAACCACGTGGTATCCGAGAACTCGAGCATTCATGACACGCGCGGTTCAGGAGAAGCAGCTAGGCCGAAAGAGACCTTTGAGGCGTACGTCCAACGTGGTGTCATCAGACAATCTGCGCTTGCTTTCGAGGGGGCTGAGTCGAAACGGGCTAAGCATCTTTCGCAGAAGAAGAGGGTCGGAGGATACGAGAAGTATACCCAGGAGTGATGGTGGTGTTTGCTGATTTTCGCCGCAACTGTAGGTGTTGGGCGATTGCGTCCGGGAGGATTTTGAGTACACTATCATTCTAATATTAGATGCCCTAGGACTATTATCAAAGTCTCCGCAACAAATCCAAGAAAGATGTATCTGCTTTACGTGATAAAACCCAGACCTCAAGTCCATTGAAATGTATGCTTTGTTTGATTGACAAGAAAGCCTGCTTGACATCCTTTCTGTTGCTTTTGTCCCCAGCATCTGTAAAACGTTGCCTTCATTTCTTGGTGGAAAAAGCGAATCTGATCCTTGGATATCCCCAAAGCTCGTCAGAGTAGCTAGAGGAGGTATTTTGAGCATTCGAGTATTCGCCTTCATGTAGAGTGCCACTTAATTAATAGCTGCATGTTACGCGTCAGGATGGCCGAGACTATCAGGTTTTGCGTCTCAGGGCCGACGACATGTTTCTCTGCGCTGTTTTTAAAGCCGCAAGACGTGTTAGACAGGCCAAACCCCCCTTTCCCTTTCCCTCACTCATACTTTAAAGCTAGCAATACATTTTTTAAAAGATAAATTTGACTCTCACAGAATGACTCCATTTTGTACCGTGGAGAAGAGAAGCGCCAAGAATCTTCCACAAACCGCATCCATCGGGTAAAATTTCGTTCTCGATTTTGAGACCCAACGCAAAAAGGTCGCATATAACATATGGATCAACTAGCGAGAGCTTTGTGCTGGCGTGGAGAGTCCAAGGTCTTACTTGACATATGGATAACACTTGTTTTAACTTCGATACTTTAATTTACAACATCTTGTCGACCTCCAACACCTTTCAAATCCAAGTTTATCAACAATCTTGTCTACAACTATGCACTTCATCATCATCGCCAACATGCGTCTCTCCACACTCACTATCAGAATTGCCGCCCTTGTATGCGTCCTCGCCACGCTCTCTTCCACCGCGTACGCTCTTCCAGAACGCACTATGGACCCTACACCTCCAGCTACTCCTATTCCCGGAAGCCCCCAAACACACGCCGCTCACTGGTGGCATAGGCCTGAGATCTCAAACTGGACAGCCCGCCTCATATATTTCGACGTTGTAAGCGCTGTGGGTCTGCTTGCTTTATACGTTCGCATAGGCCTACCTTTCTTGATCAGAGAGTGATGGTGGTTGTGTACTCGTTGCGGAAATCACAGAGACGTACCAAGAATAGTGAGTGAAGAGTACTGTGATCGTGTCAAAGAGCCTTACGATCCGCTGCAATGGAAGATGTATTCTTAGAGGAGTCTGTGGATACTTGTTATTAGGCTTGGTAGTGCTCATGTTCTAGGCTTGCGCAGCCATTAATCCACTCTTGAAAACTCACTTGCCGCGTCCCTCAATCGAATCATCAATTTCAGCGAGACTAGAGAGACGGGGCAAACGTATGACTTAAAAAATCAAAGCTGCGAAACACAATGTGTAGCGTGGCCGGTGCAGAAACAATCCCAGCAACCTCACCAAAAGCTCAAATTTATATTCGATATCGACCTATGCATCCGAGGGAGCTAGTTTGCAAAGCAAGAAAAAAAGAAAAAAAGAAAAATAGGTCTGCTTCGCTTTGTCGCGGTGTTCTTTGTTGGTCAACACAACCCTCCCTCCTGCTACCAGCGGACCTAAATCTTCACTTCACTCTTCCCTCAAACAAAGCCACCTCAGCTCACAATCTCATCCACACGAGACACCAACTCTCACCATTTCATCACCAAACACCCAAGAATGCCCAACCCCTTCGAGCCCACCAAATCCTCCCCTCTCGCAGCCACACCACTGGAACCTCACCCCGAATTCCTCCCGCCCTCATCTTTCAATTCGAACGAATGGCCAACGTGGTCATCTATCGAACCTTCGATGCAAGCTCTCATTGCGAATGACACTCGCTATCACAGCTCTGTCAATACAACCCACACCACCAACACTCCCAATCAACGCTCCACGGTCATCGAACCCACCACCCCACTACGCAAGCGCCGCCCGTCCAAACCGGCTGATGGGCAGCTGCAGAATGACCATGCGCATTTGTTGTTGGGAGAGAGCCTAGGAGTGGGTGAGGTTGTGGAGGCGCTGAGGGGGAAGGTGGAGGTGGAGAGGGTTGTGGCGATGTTGATGGAGTGGAGGCGGGTGTGGCAGTCTGTGGGGAAGGGGAAGGGGGAGGGGGTGCAAGGGGGAGATGGGCAGGAGAGGGGGAGTGGGAAGGGGAATGAGGCAGCGGGTGTTACTGTAAGTCGGCATGACGGGGAAATTAAGGGCGGTCAGGTTTGAAAAATGAAACAGGCTGATTGGAACGGCAGTTCCCAAGAGCGGAAGGATCGTAAGACTAGAGAACAAAGCGCTGCTAAGCCTTGCGGTGAGGCAAGCAGCTGAAGGATGCTCAGAACTATGTATTGGATGCGCCAATATGGATCAAATTGAATACTATCATTGAGAGTGTGTCCAAGAAAGGTTTATTGAAAATACCATTGCAACAAGACGCATCAAGCGCCTAGACAGTGATGATATCCCCCACTCGGTGACGCCAGATCCTGCAAAAGATTCCCATACCCAAAAAGTGATTCCGTCCCGCACTATCCCATGTAAAATCAGCGACGACGGCCTGAACACCCGTTACTTGCCTTCCGAGATCGACAATTGACTCATACACGCGAAGTCGACGGCAGTCCCGTTGAACAAACTGAGCGGCTTACCGATGCCACTACCACCCGGAGCGAAACTGCAATTGTATGCGCCGTCGAACAACTGTTCAAGATTGGACCACTCCTTGTTCACGATCTCATTCATGAAAGATGTCGGGTCGGGGCCCGCGCCACTCAGGACTACCTCGTATGCACGGGCGGTAGAATTGCTGTAGAAGACAGTGGTCTCGTCTTTTGAATTGGTACAGATGTTGTTGGAGCCGAACGTGCAGTCGGAGCCGCCGGATCCTGGGACTGAGCCCGCGACATCGGCCATGGTCAGATCGCTGCGGGTTACGGCCCTCCACTTGTTGGCTGACATGGCGCTGGATAGGATGAAGGTGCGCAAACCTAGGGCTAGGATGTCAGAGTCGGCCGGAAGCGACAGGTTGTTGGGGCCTGAGAATTGTCCAGAAGATGCAAAACCGTTGAAAGAGGGGACGTCACTCATGATTGTGTAGAGACCCTGGGTGATTCGGGTTGTAAAGTTTTGATCGATCTGTGAGAGGTAGCTGTCAAGGTTGGCGAGCTGCTCAGATTGGGAATCTGCTGTTCCGGTGGGCCAGATGGCTTTCGCCACTGAGGGTGCTGCTTGTAAACCTTTTATAAGTGCAGTAGCAGCTGTGCCGGCTAGGCCTGAGAGTTCGGGTGCGGCTATGAATGAGAGGCCGGCTGTTAGGGCGGAGAGGAGGTCGCTGAAAAGGAGGTTGGTCTTTTGGATGGGATCGATCTCGAGGACGAGGGGCTGATTGATGAGTAAGGCTGAAAGGGTTGCGTAAGGTAGTGCTCCGTTCCAGTTACTGAAGAAATTATTGATATCTAGTACGTTGATTCAGTACAGTTTTTGAGAAAGACAATTTCTGGCAGGACTCACTGTACATGGTTCCCAGGATGTAGCGCACTTGAGGAGCAATGCTTGCACCGACTTGAAAGTTGGGGCATGTGCCTTCGTTTATGTTGATACAGTTGTAGCCATGATTTCCAATCGCGAGGCGTATGAAACAGGTGGACCAGACTTCATTAGGCGCGCAGCAGTTCGCGCCGTCTTCGAGAGTACCATAGATCGTCGAGCAGATAGGCCTGTTTGTATGCCAATCTGTGAGGTATTCGGCGAGGTGAAGCTCTTCCCAGCATAATCCACTAGTAATGGCATTAGGATCAGTGCAATTGACGCCTTGGCGACGTTGAAGAGGATGTACTGTGATGGAAGAAGGGGCGACAAGAGTGACGGCGACAAGTATAGCGACGAGTGATAGGTAAGCAGCCTTATTCATTATGTTTTTGACCGTGTAAAAGTTTGTCGGGTCGGTCGGTACGAGATGTCGGAAGTTTAGGGGGCTGAAGATGTGTAGTGGGGCTGTTGCAGTTAGAGTGCTCGTGGAAGTCATGACCCTTATAGAACATCTAGCACGGGCCAGGTGGGATTTGAAAAGGGCGCAGTCTTCCTGCGACCTAATCGTGAGCTGTATGGATCCAACATGACCCGCGCGCTTCCGAGGCAGCTCTCCTGTGGGAGCGATAATCAGTTCCGTTGTCAGTCATGACTTCGATCATTCACGGCCTGTATTGCCTCCAATCTGAACCGGGAACCATCCTACAGCTCCATCAGGACGATCGTGTCCTTACGTCGCCACTGTACCAGAGTCATACAGAAAGACAATCTCACACTCACCGAGTCTTCGTCATAATCCTGCTCTGATGTACCAGGCTAAGCATTTGTACACAAATACATTATGTTCAAGTCGTCGTGCGGTACATGACTGGCGATCCTTTGTCTCAATGGAAGCCTGCCACTTGGTACTACGACAATACTCTGAATGGGCAAGTGCATGATTTTGCCGACGGATTAGAACAGCTGACTCTAGAGTGAGACACAGTGAGCTAAAGGATGCGTGGATTCCGAGTGGTAGGAGTGAGGAGAGAGCTTGCAGTCGTTCGCCATGATGCGGACCTCTGCAGAATCCACGATAACAGATTTTACAGTACCGGCAATGCATCCATATGAGGTAGGTCGGTGCAAAGGACAACAAGCAGCCAGCTCGTTATCAGCAACGTGTGCCGACCCAGTGGATCACGTTTTATTGTCACTTGAGTTGGAGGGGCGGTGAATCGAACCTTGAGTGACGAATGTGTTTTTACCCCCACGAGAGCTCATCGTAGCTATGCTTGGGATTAGCGCGCTTGTAGAAATGTTAGAACGTTGCACCAGATGATCCAGATCCTCCCAGTCGGAGGCCGCCGAGTTAATGCGAGCGGCAGAGCACCCCGCGAAAATTGTCCTGACGATCCTTCAAGGCTTTAGTATTTCTCCGACTGGATCTTTTCACAGCCGTGGCACACCAGGGTCGTGTTTGATACTCCGAGGAGCTGTTGTTCCGCAATTGTGGCTGCATCATGCGGTAGGTCATCGCATCATAGACTCTGGCTGGTGAGAAGTCACAAAAACTTATCTGCTGCCCCTTTTCCATAGGTAGCTAAACGAGTAGACGGGAAATGTTCCAGCACCGAGGCGACCCGGCCGAGCTGCTTTATGCGGCTTGATGTTTCGAAACATGAAAACAGCATCCTAAGTCATGGATCGCCAGATCGACGAAGCGGTTGGATTGGAGCGGTGTGAATCACACAATAGACTGGACGTTGATGAGCCCATCTATATAATCAGACTGATCGAATTACACATAAACGTGTCCGAGCAGGATGATAAGACGTGTTGGAGCAGATCCATTGTCTGACCGCGGATTGTCGCTTATAGGCGCGGCAATGATCTTAATGTAGGCCAAGGGACGATCGGGAAATTGCATGTGCTGCGCAAAGGTTTTCTGAAGATAGATTCGTTAATCCTTGCCCTGAGCCTCAGGGCCTGAGGCTCTAAATTCTGAGTGGGACGGACTCAATATTTTGGCCCCCACTCAAGTTCTCGTCCCGTGGCGGAAGCCATACGGTGTTGTGAAATGAGCGATTCGAGCCATATTGCGTAGGATTCAATCGAGATTTCGTGCTGTTCACGTGTCTGATATCAATTGTCTCATGACACATGCAATTTAGATAAAGTCTATCCTCTCGCTATATGTCGAGATTGTGCAGGCAATACAGCACGACGATTGGATTTGGGGGATGAAGAGAAGATAAGACAACATACCCCCCTTGGCAGTGATCGGAGATGGCTTTCTCATTGTTGCTCGGTCAAAGTCGAGCCAATGGGACGTTGATCCAACGAGCAGGATCGGAATTCTCAACAGCAATCGCTGCTCGGCGGCAACGAGGAAGACAGGCTCTCAGATGTGGCACTTTACGTCCTTGAGTAAGAACTGTATCGTATGCCGCATGTATCGGTGATATGGAAACACTTTTGATTGACGAGGAAGAAAGAGAGAAAGACGAAACAGCCGCAGCCCTATGGCCTTGGCACTGACCGCGAGCGCACTAGCATAATGATTAGTTATTGCTGCATCACGCACATGCATGACTGTGTAAGTTGTGTAACACGCACATCTATAACCATTCTCTTGGACGACAAAACTCAGACTGCTGCTTCCACTTGTCAGTAATGTTTGACACCAGTAATCATAAATGTCATCGAGCCGTCAATTTGGATGGGCCAAAGGACCTCTCCAGATCTTCCATTCCCCCTCATCTCCCCTTCTCAAGACCCTTCACTTCTGTTGGTTCTTGATATCTTGCTTCCGTTAAGTATCTTCCCTGATACAGATTCTTCGAAATATCCAAAACAACATTAATCTGCTACTGCGGCGCGGTCCAAATATCCTATTCCGTTGAAGGCGACAATCTGGTTGACACCGTTCGTCCAATTATTCCCCACAGCACTGCCTTCCGTTCTAAACCTTTTTCCAAATTCATCTGCAAAGCACGGACGACCGAAAAATCACCGGCTCCATGTTCGCCTCGAATTTCCTTCTCAAAGATGACACTCTCAATTACGTCCGCGGCAAAGACACAAGGTCGCCGAGACAGACACCATCGCAACCGGTCACACCATGACTCCTACTTCTGCAGCGTCTGCGGCAGTCTGGTTCATCGGCCTCGTCCGGCTTTCCTGGAATGGCAGCTTTGAGGATTGGAGCGGTTGATGACTTTGAAAAGCATGAGACTGTGTTGAAACCGAGGATCGAGCAGTTTACAGGAAAGAGAGTTAAATGGCTGAAGCCAGCGGAAGGAGTGGAACAGCGGGAGGGCAATTATTACAATGGTTTCAAACCTGAATGACGGGCTATCCCATGACTTGGCAATGCGATAATTTTCCAGACCGAAATAATCAACAAAATCTCTGACTCTAACTTCTGTCGTTGTTGACTTATAACGAGTTGCAAATGGGGACTTGTGCCCTAACCCCCTAAGGTACAGGGATCTGACTCCCAAAATCGGGTGAATGACGCCTAAAGCGTCCCTACAACTTTTGCCCCTGACACGGAAACCCTGCCCAGAGAGGTTCCCATATATTAGTGACAAAGCAGCGATTTTACAGAACTGCGGTTAATCGGTGGACGTTCTACCTGCGAAGATCCGGTCATCTTGCACTTACTTGAATGAAGCCGCGCTGGAGTGATAATTTATCACTCTCCCAATGTAAACACTCGCATAAGGCACACTTGGATCATCAGTATATGTGATTGGCAGTTCGACGCCAAGAGCCCCATAACTGTGCGTTACAGGCCTGGGTAGCTGTCTACGGCCGAAAGGTGTTGACTTGGAGGGATGAAACAATGTACAAAGTTTTCTGAGTGAGACAAGAGCAAGACTTGGATGGATGAAAGTGGACGTATAGAGGCTAATCACACTTTTCCACAATCGAGCTGGTGGGTGATGAGTGCGGATGTTCATAAGTCATCATGCAAAGAACAGATTAAGAGTGGTATGCCACGTTCACTGCCGGTGGCTCGCTCGGTGATTTGGTCCTCTCCGTACCCTCAATAAGGGCAACAGACGCTGCGTCAGTCTGATGTGAAGATCCTTGCGAACCGAAAAAATGCTACTGGCCTATGTCCGTCTCACGACTCGTCTCGTAGAAGCCGCAGGACGTTTCAATCATTCATTGCGACGCAAACAAAGTCTTTCTACTCAACATGCTGGAAACTCTCGTTAAGGTGCTAGCTCACTGAGGACCCCTCACAACTCGCTCTTCCCACTTTCCTTCTCAAGAAGCTCAAGATAATGCTCAGTGACGCTAACGAGCGCATCCTCGTAGCTCTGAAACTTGATCCCAAGCACCTTCTCCGTCCTGGTAGTATCATACTTGACTACTTTATTCGTCGGCTGCGTTCCGCTTGCCGGCAATCTGCCATCATGAACAGCCTCTGGAAAACGCCTTTTGACAATCTCGATACTGTCATCCCAAACGATGCCGTCAGTACCCCCAGCCTGTATGCCGAAGTCTTGGTTTCCCTCGACCTTGGGGCTCAGCGACAGTACATGGACTTTGGCGACATCGTCAACATGCTGTAAGCTGCCCCAAAGGGGTTGGGCCGATACGCGACCTAAGACCGGGCCGAAAGCGAATGCGTTCGTCCCGCTCAAAACGTCCTTCGCGTTAGTGATGAGCTCGTTCTTGCCAACAAAGAATCCAGGCATCACGTTGATGACGTCGAAGGTGGGCTTCTCGGTCTTGACAAACTCCTTCGTTGCGTTCAAAGCTTTCGTTTTGGCGGCGGCATAGGCTTCGAAGCTGTGCTCGTACGGGCCTGAGGGGTCTGGGACGCTCTTGTCGGCTGTGTACACGTGGTTGGTTTTAGGATTCATGACTTCTGCCCATGGTATGACCGCGACGACGGAAGAGGTTATGACGATGCGCCTGACGGAGGGTTCTTTCGCGGCCGCTTTGAGAATGTTGGTGGTCCCTTTGATCGCGGGCGTGATGATGTCGCGCTCAAAGTCTTCTGTGGAGCCGGGGAGGGGAGAGGCGATGTGTAAGATGGCTTTTACGTCTTTGACCGCGTCATCGTAGGCGCCGTCGGCGATGATGTCGGGTACTATGATGAAGTCTAGCTTGGAACCCGGGGCGAGTGCTTTGATTGACTGAGTTGCAAGTATAGTTCCTGCTTTCGCCTGGGATCGTACTGCTGCGCGGACTTGATAGCCAGCCTCCAAGGCGAGCACTACAGCTCGATAGCCTAGATGACCTGTGGCTCCTGTCACGAGTATGAGGTCTCCTGCCATGTTTGGCGGTATCGAGTGAGGGTTTAAGTTTGTGAGGAAGCGTATGTAGGACAATCTTAGCGAGGAAAAGTCAGATTTTGGTAGGTTTGCTGAGGATATAGATGAAGATTTTTGGGTTATTGGGACGAGACGGAATGAGCATCTGTTATATAGATACTAGGAACGAGAACAGCTATTACAAACTGCGAAGTGGTACGATGAATTGCATTTGTAATTCGTCTTGGCAATGTCTGACACATCCTGTGCACACCGGGTTGGTAGCGTAGAGTACCCGAATTGCAAGGACTAGATTCCGATTTCGCAGGCAATAATTGCGTTCTTACTGTGGGCGGGGCATGGATTTGTCAAATGATCACTAAACAAGTGCCAAGATCAGCAAACGCAGTACACTCAGCGCTTGCAGAAGAGCCTAAGAGCTTACAGTCATGGAAACCAAACAATAAGTATATCGCAGATGTTCTATCGATTACAGACCCTGCCGGCGCTCCGGTCAGAAACATAGAGCCATCTAGCTCTTTGGCACTGTGTGTTTACTGGCTTTCTCCACACGTTGCAACACCTCCCTCCTTTACGGTACAAGTAGACAGCCATCAAACCCATGCTTCTGCCATGACTAGTAAGCAAGAGACGCTGTGTCGCGAGTGCAGGCTTTTCGCCCTTCGAAACTGCCTTTGTCGCTCGAGAACCTCCACCAGCTGGAGTCTACAGCTTCCGAAACCGAAACACTGGTTTTGACCAGGGCTCTGCTTGAGGCAGTCTCTCAGACTAAATCTGTGTGTCCACTTCAAGGGCCTTCTATCCTGGACATCGGCCCAAGTAGAGCCGCGCCAGTCACCTACACTTTTTACCTTATCGGAGTCCGATAGAACCTCCTTCAACCGGCTCGAGTATAGACTCCTTCATAATCCATGAGGGCTGGTCAGGTTCTGGTGGAAGCTTCCATGTCTCGCTTGAGTTCGAAATTACAGGCCCATGCTCTGAGTGTAGACTTCTATTGCAGCGATAGGTCGAGAGACGATTGGAAAAAGACTGCCCGAGGGATGATGCTGTGATTTGATCAACAGCCTTCAGGGCTATTGCAGGATACTCGAGACCTTCAAGGAGCATGTATATTTCCGAGACACTGTTCCAATGATGCGACAGCCGAAGAACACACTTCTTTTTCAACTCTGAAACCGGGAAAATGCCTCCATATCCGACTTTGTAAGCGTTCCGCGACCGTGCGGGTTTCCAAGAACCACTACTGACGGAAATTTGAAAGGCGCGCTGCCTGTAACCCTGGGTAACGACTATGGGTACTGATCAGGCCTACCTAATCAGGTCGTAGGTACATATCGATCTTGATTGCTGAGGTTCCTCGCCTTAAGGCTGTGTCTCGGCTGGTTTTTGAGCACAATGCACATTTCTACCATCGATTCAGTGTCAGCGGGAAATTTTCTTCAGGACCAATCTCAATCGACTTACACTCGACCATAAAAATGCTTCCCCAAACCGTCAAGGTCCTCGCGGACTTCCCCTACAAACACCTCGACCTCCTACTTCATCCATCCCTAGTGTTTAGTGAGCAGCGTCGTGCTCGCAGCTTCCAGCCCCATCACGATATTGTGTCTCTGCAGCCTTCTTAGCTTCTCCCAACTTCGTCTTCCGGCCACGGCCCCCACGGCAATCTCATGACTTTCTCTGACATCTTTGCGAATCCCTGGGTTGACATGTAATCTTTGAACTTGTCACCCGGCGCAGTGTCATTGCCACCTTTTGCCATCGCTTCATGTATGAGATTACCAAATCTCATGAGCGCCGAGTCTGGACCTGCACTACCGTCATCGAAAATCAACGGGTAACTACATTGTTGTGACCATACCCAGCTTCAGGTTTCAGGCTGTCAAAGCAGCGGCGGAAGTGGCTTGGCCAATCATGCATGCCGGAATAGAAAAATCGCGAATGGATGAAGTGAAAAGGCTTGGAGAAAGTCCAGTCATTCTCTGCATTTGCAACTTGATATTGGCAGTTGGCAGGTACCGAGGTCTTGGGTTGGATAGTTGACAGGTCGATGCCATCGACTTGGAATATGCACTGGCATGCGCGATTTCGATGGTCCAAATGCCTGTTCCGGTGCCGACGTCAAGGATTCGACACCCAGAAGCTGGTGTGATAGGCGAGATATAGAGCTTGCCGTGCATACTCATCCGTCAGACTTCATGCTGCGAACCTGACACATCCTCTCAATATAATGTCTTATGTGGAATGTACGATAACCTTAACTTAATCTATCCACTTCTGCTTCATCGTTGAGAAGATAATAAGCGTCTTCCTCGTGACCATGATATCTTCGACCATTCTTGTAGCGCTAGGCCGGATCTTGGTCCGACATTACAACACAGTGTATGAGGAGTCACGGCCTACGTCGACGGGGATAGCATGATGGTAAAGAGAAAGGAGTGCATCGCTGATTTAATTGTGGTATACACTTAGCTCAAGCGGGGTACGAGCTAGAGTCTGACAACACTACAAGAAATCACTCAAGGACACCGTAAAGTAACGCCCGGACACCTAGTGTGGCGAGTCAGCTCATGAATGCGGGCTATGATGATGCAACAGGGAAGGGCGAAAGGGGGGGAAAATCACCAGATTGATTGTCCCATCTTTACAAATTTCTTCGACCTTTATTGTCAATGTCCTCAATCATTCCGGTATCGCCCAAGAATCCTCCCCGCTAAGACGTGAGAGAATTAAGACGGTGAAGAGTTGTTGTCTTGAAGAACATACATGCCAAACCAAGGATTCTCGAGCGCTAATGAGTAAGCGGTGGTATCTGGAGAGGTTTTCATCATCTTGTAACTCTGTATCCGTCAGTCCTGCTTGTCAACCACCAAGGCATCTTCATTTCAGTCATCTGGGATTCGAAAACGATTGGCGCATGTATCATCCCCTGCTCTATATGTCCGGCTTGAAACTTTGCACGTCTCCGGCCACATGGTATGCGGTGGGTTGGCGGTTTTGAAACGCGCATGCTGACATCGAAACATGTTTTAGATGAGATCTATGCGCCTGCTTGAAACCACACTATGCTTATCCCCCATAAGACTTGAGCGAAACATGCCGGATGACGAAATCCCACGTTCACGCTGTTGCGAAATATACAAACGACGACAGTCAATTTACCGTTGCGAAATGAAGTAATCACGGATCACAAATCGAAGCAAGGTTCTTCCCAAAGCCCGGTAAATTTGGGTGGCAATATGAAATATGCGACACGCCTTCGAACGGCTTGGGATGCCGTACCTGCGTCACTCACCATACGCGCGTATCACAGCGACGCGCTCTAGAAGCGCTACTCAGCCCCTGGTGTATCCACAATGGAAAATAATCATACATAGCTGAGCTTCCTGACCTGGTCAACGTAAGAGGCTGACGTACCCAGCCAGACTCATTTTTCCCCGTTGCCGCTTGATACCTTTTTCCAATCCTTCTTCGGACTCACTGTCTCTATCGATTCCATTTCAAGCAATACTGTGTTTCCTTTAAAAAGTTCTCTCGGCTCCGTTCTCGCCTCGGTCAGAGTCTGTAAGCCTTTCAATCAAGATGTCTCGATCTCACCAACCACGGCTTTCCAGCGCCATCGTCATTGCCCTCCTCTGCATCAACTCCTCCATAGCCAGTCCAGTCGCAAACGCCGACCGCTCCCACGTTTCCATCATCGGCGCATCCGAGCCCGTACACATCATACTCTCTGAAGACCTCCCTCCAGAGCGATCTTCCCTTAATGGTGGCAGCACCATGGTCAATGACGGCACAACCGTAACTACTTCTTTCAAAAACCGCAGAAACCTAGCGCAGAGGAGAGACTCGCTCTCCATCGTCTCTGTGTCCGAGCCCGTACACTTTATCCCCATTGAAGACCTGCCACCAGAGCGACCTTTTCCCAATGGTGGCAGCACCACGGTCAATGACGGCACAACGGTTACTACTACTTTCAACGACCGCAGAGACATGGTGCGGAGAAGAAATTCCGTCTCCATCGCATCTGCATCGGAGCCCGTATACGTCATCCCCACTGAAGAAATACCTCCTGGCCACATTTCTAACAGTGGCAGCAGCAGCACCACCAATGACGGCACGACCGTAACTACTACATACACAACACCCCCGAACCTCTTGCAGACCAAATCCAATGTCACGGGCAGTGTCAATCTTATCAATGTGAGAAACCTGACTTCTCCAGTCTCAGAGATAGACATGGGCTTGAACTGCGAAGGCAGCGTAATCATGTGCATCGGCTCTGCCCAAATGGGTGTCATGCACACCCTGCGCGACTACACGTACGCCATCCCAACTGGGTACCGTTACTATGCTGGGCAAGATATCGCCTGCATGAAGCACAATGTCTACCCGAACCCTTGGATTACCTGGGGCTTCTACTGCATTTTCATGCAGGGGAACATACCGGCGGCGGGGGTGGACGGTGCGTTGATCCAGTTGAAAATGCAGCAAATGATTGAGCATCACTGTCTGGGGTGCGGTAGCGTGCCGTTTAGCGACGATAATGACCCAAGGACCTTGGGGATCTTGACGGTCAACTATGTCCGTCAGAGCGAGTGCGAGGGATTGTGCTATTATAGACCTCCTGGGATTGCCGCGAATGCGGCTGTGAAAGTTCCGCAAGGTATGACTCTGGTTTCATAGCTGGGCTTTCGGGTGTATGAGTCGTGGCTTCACCCATATTTAGACATGGATTTCGATAATGCTGTATATTAGTAGTGAGAGACTTTGGGAACTGGCCTGATGGTTGGAATAGATATTCAAGTATTTGAAAGGTCTCCGGACACAATGTTGTTAGCGACACGACCCTATTCCCGCTTTTGAAGACAATCAAGTGCCCTAAGTGACAGGCACAGCGATTGTCGCAAGACCAAAGCCAATCTCGCCAGCACGATTTGCGTGGACACGAGGACACGTGACCTCACCCAGCGCCGAAGTTTCCCCGAGGCAACGAGCGCCCATTTCACCTTTCAGCTCCCTTTCACCCTTGAACAGTTCACAGAGCTGCAATGCTCATGCCAATTCTGCGATACATCATCAATGCATAAATCACTGACCTGAGGATACACAGTGCACCATGGCTTGCGACCACACCCATGTCTAGAAAACTTGAAGCTGATCCAACCAATTCCTGTACACAGTGAGAGTGCTCCCACGCGGCTCAACATGTCAAGATGGAGAGTGGGACAATTTCCTCCCGAACCTGTGTACAAAGTTTTCTACTCCTTTAGCCACTAGATATCAAACGCTTCCATATTTTGAACAAAATTCCAAATGGCACAAGCTCTGAGCATCTGCTTCCAGAAATGCATAATCTCTATACCAGTCAATCCGTCCAACGACTGGAAGAGATCTGTCTCCCCCCTTACCCAGCAAACGTGTCACCAGTCTCCTCTATGAAACCGATCGCCTGATATAATGTCCTGATCGTGGACTCTGTCAAAAGAAGATTCAGCCAGAGAGCTGGTTGGCACGTCAACCTTACCACAGGCGCTATAAAATTCCCGATTCATTGTTTATCGGCATCGAAGAGGACATGGGGCACGGTACAAGAGTCGCTGGACGGATCAGCCGACGAAATCTTGATGAGAGATGGGAAGGTCTTAGGCAACTCCGTTATGAGCAGGGAGAGAAAGATCAGTCAGGCAGTAATACGCTTCCCAAGACTGCATACCATACGGATGTCGATCGAGGGTGAATTTGATCCTGTAGAGCTCGCGTTCAAGAGGCTGTATGCACCTGGCATGCTGATGCAAAGATTGGGATAGTCGGGCTTTGACTGGGCCTACATCGAGACAGCCGGACTTCGCCATTTCGAAGCCCCTAACTGTGGCCATGTCAAAACGTTCCCAAAGGCGGCAATCAAACTTTCTGAACGATCATGGAGACGACGTGGCAAGCATGAATTTCCAAGACAGAACTCAACAAACCGAACTGCAGACCTTGCATGCTGGGAGCATCAATCTGCACTTCTTCGCGACAGCGATACGGGAAACCATAGCTCTGACCAACGCTAGTATCGTCTTCTCAAAGATATAAAGCTTGTGCTTGAGACGGGAAGTACAGGTATGGACCTCCGCCTGACACCAATGCCTGGTACACTTCGAGATCTCTCCTGGAAAGTCACAATCTGCGTCATTTGCCATACATGTGAATCGAGACTGCCGTCGCCGCGATGCTATAAAACTAAACGCATTCTTCTACTTTTACGGAAGTATCCGCTTGGAATAAATGGTTCAAGTCTTGGTCGTCGACTTGGCTAACGGAATGCCGCTGTTGCAAACAGCTTTCGCTAACGCTGGTCAACGCAACACAAGCCTACTACAATTGCCGGCTAACTGTGCTCAAAATCGCTGACGTGAGTTCAAAAAAGGCGTCGTGACTCCATCTACTGAAAATATAAAAGCCCCGAGATCCTGACTCCAACCCCCACCTAGCCTTCGCATCAGCAGTGAAGCCTGCCCACAGACGCTGAAATTTTGCGCAAACTGGTTAAAGAAATCCATTCTGAGGGGCGCACTCGCTCGGATGCCCCCTAATCTGAAATTACTCTGCATTGTCAGGTCTGTCCATTCTGGGGAAACACCATATAAGTCTGTCCATCCTTTGTTGTTTGAACTGCTAAAGGCGTATGGTCTTGTTCCGTGATTTGTTCGGCTTGATGGTGGAAGTAGAGCAGTGGATTGTCGATATAGTTGAAAAGCGGGTTTATGTGTGCTTCTTGGGACCCATGGAAGTCCCACACGCGGAAGGGTGGCATCTTGTAGTGTCCGATGATGTCGTTCCGGTTCTCACCCAGAAGCATAATATTACTGCCCGGAACAATGCTCAGGTATGAAGACAGAAAAGGCATAATACCCGACAGCCTATTGTTGATTATGTAGCTTCCTTCGTCGAAGGGATTCTTAATTCGTTGCGGAATCTCAACCACTGGGAAGATTCCTCCAATAGCGAGTCGACCCGGCACTATTGGGTTCTTGGGGTCGATGATCGGGGTACCCTCGTTGCCGCCAACCTCAACGTGCAACTCAAATATCTTTTGCTTTAGAAAAGCACCATTCGCCAGATTGAAACTCCCATAACTCTGTGCGCTGTAATGCTTTTTGACGATCCCAAGCTCCTTCAAGTCTGAACTGTACAGCGAAGCGCAGGAGGCACCGGAGTCAAGCATAGATGGCATCTCATAGATTGGGCCCAAATCGCCGCAGTTTACTCGTCCATGGGCGTCGGTCTGGAAAGCGCTTCTTTCGCTGGCATTTAAAGGCTTTAAGTCTCCCTCACCACCCTCGTTTGGAAGCCTCATCACGAACCCTGATTGTTTCTGGTATCTCTGATTCAGGGTTAGCGAAGACTGTGTAAGTTGGAAACTCTTGTTATACCTGGTGGATCCAGAAATGGCCTAGTCCACCTGGTTGAGCCCGTCTAGGGATGACTTGGCATCCTTTGGCTTGGAGCTGATCATTAGGATGCACATCCAGAGGACTTTCCCACCATAGCCAGTGTGGGCCGTACTTCTCCGCGTAACGGTCTAGTCGCTCCGCGCGATTGACGCTGAATTCGCCATATGTTGCGGCGCTATCGACGACTTGCCCAGCCCAGATCAGTGTGTAGCCCTTGCTGTATCCGACCTCTCCGGACTCATATGCGTCGATGGCTGCTTTAATGTTCACCTTTTCCGGCTCAAATTCTGAGTGTGCGAGCGCTTCTTTGAGGTCTTTGACCCGCTCCAAAACGATAAGCTTGGGTGCTTCCGGGTTACTATCAGACGTTAGACTCTCTTCCAACGGCATCTTCTAACAGTAACAAGCCCAGGAAATCCTCTATGTCACGGTTTCAGGCTAGAATCTGCCATTCCATCATGAACATAGGAGGGGGCCTCTGCGAACGCCCATGTCTTTGGGCAAGGGAATCCGACTTACCCAACCCTATGGTTTTCTGGAGTATCACTCAGAGCTTCGCGCGCAGCGATAGCATCCGCAAGGCTGGCTTTGCATGTTGGCACCCCACCCGGATGGTTGCGTTCATGCCACTCAATGATCTTTTTGAACGTTGCGATTCGGAAGTCCGCCCTGCCAATTTTGCTTCAAGGTTCGTTAGTCCAAAAATGTTCCGCGCATGGGACCGGATTGTAGACCCACCTGAGACCTCCTTCAGGCTCATCATCCAAACATGGCAATGGATCGTACTCGTAGACTGGCGACGGGGCCATGCCCTTCCCAGATGCTGCCGTATCCGTTCCGCCCATGGGTATATCTGCCAGCCCAGGCATCCGTTTTCCTTTTGAATTCTCCTGCACTTTGCACTTTGGTGGGATCTTGGAACGTCCATCTGCACGCGCCCTTTCAGCAGCCGATTTTCCGGGAGGCATATTGGACTCTGGTGCTGACTATCGGAGGTTCTGACTTGGAGCCAGTAGAGTATGCAACAAAAAAACCATGCTGCCTCTCTTGAGGTAGTCATGTTGCTGAGTGGTCTAACAAAGCAGTGCCGCATTCATCGATGACCGAGGGCCAGCATTCGGCTGCTGTGTCCCGGTTCCGGTCCCAGGTGAAGGTGCGGCATCCCTGCCGGGGATTCATTGAACATCTGGGCTGCTTGCGGTTTCCTGCTGCTCATCATAGTCTTTGGAGAGAGTGCGTGGTTCTGTATAGTCAGTCCCGCAGAAGGGTCATGGGGGTCGGATGAGGCTAGATGCATTCCTCGGCCCTGATTTCATCTAGCGCATTCCCTTCATTGAGCCTCCCAAGCTACTCGAAGACAAAGGAAGCTGTTTGACGCGAAGCTGGCACTTCAACTCCCGCGCCGAGCAGATCGGTCGCTGACACGAAGAGATTGAATCTTGATGCTGCCCTGCTCTGCACCGTCAATGATTCCCGCTTCTACCATAGCAGCAGCTATCTTCTGCTGCGAGTATGTCTTGCAGCGAAATTGCAAGTGCGCGCCGCGGAGACAAAATGGTGCCTGCTCGTTCAGATTGGCTACGTCTGTCTGCTGTATCTACTGTAGGCACCTCGCGAACTTGTCTCGGGTAGCATTACACATCAGTCATCGATGCTTGGTATACATAACAGGGAAAGCTTTCAATTGAGGCTGTTTTGGCAACGGTGCGCAACACAGACTGCCTTGCTGAACAACAATAACTCAAACACCGGCGTAGCCAAAACGATGATTACTGGCGCCCTGACCTTCCACCCTTCAATTTCAAAGAGGAATGCCTGCAAAACAGAGTTCCACCGCAGGCATGGCTAACACAATCCAGCCACTCGGTCCCCAAGCCTTCAAACAGACACCCATCAGTGTAGGCGATGTAGAGATGCATGGCGCGAGGCATTCGCGCAGGTCGATGGTTGGTAGCTCTAGGAAGAGGAGGGTGCTCGAGACAGCTGGATATCTGAGAGGATAGGAAGGAGCTCGTCGACAGAGTGTCGAGGTAGGATTTAGGAGGCAGAAGGCGGGATGTAGAACGGGGACATCCGAAGGCAAGTGTTCGTACCTAGCTGATCAAGTCAACGACCCAGCAGGAAGACTGACAGCTTGGCTGAACCGCTTTTGTTGGATACAGACTCCTGGAAGGATGGCTTCTAGATACCTTAGGCCCGTGTACGAGACCCCAGATCATGCGCCTTGCCGCTCAGCATCCAGCCCCGCTGTTGTTCTCTCGCGAACCGTCTGGGTCCGCATTATCCCTTAGCACCCGGAGAGACATCTCCGACGGCTCTTGGCTTGGTTCTCGAGAGTTATATGATCCTAGGTGCAGTTGCAATCGTGGTGAAGGCGGGCCGAATCCTTTGTCGCTTCGTGCCAGGTTTTGAGTGGTGTCGCTAGGATAGGAACGAACGATACCCACAATGTTCTGTAGCTGAAGAGCGAGAAGATTCTGCGAGTGCTCGGGCTCGTCTACATCTCCGAACTTCGGAGTCTGGCTGTTCGGGTTGTAGGCCTTTGATGCTCAGTACCTCAACGATATGTTTCTGGTGGGTGCTCTCCTGGATTGTAATTCCTCGGCGAGGGTCGACAATGGTGGGCCGCTCGGCAACGAAGATTTATTTTTCCGGGTTGGGCACCGACTGTTTGCAGACGTTGGCAATTGGGTCCAAAGGCGGAGAGGCAGGTGAGAGGATTGGGGTAAATGCTGAAGGTTGCTGCAGAACATCTCTATCCTCCTTTCTTCTGGAGGTTGCCTGTTCGTGCTCCGCATGCTTGACTAATGCCCAGACTCGATTGTGCAACTGGCGTTCCCCTAAGCCCTTGTTGAAGAATAGGCCTTGCACGTTGTTGCGATTGGCTTCTCGAAGGCCGAACAATATCCATGCACAGTGATCAATGTTGTCACAGTCTGTCGTGTCAGGGTTTGCAGATTGTTGAGAAGCGTCTCCTCCTGAAGACCTTGTCCTTCCAGAAAATCCCTAGTTCGGCCATACGTTGACAGTTGTGGATGGGCTTATTGCAGGACTTTCTTGTAACATCTCGCTCATCTCCATGTAGGTTTTGAGAAGTTCGGATTCGATCGCAGATTCATTGCGTGAATGACCTCGTGGCCAACTGTGAGAGCGAATTCGAAGTAAAGCTTGTGGATCTAGAACGTGCTTCTCTCGGGGTCGAGGTGCAACTGCTTTGGTGTGATCCGGTATTCACTTTGAACGCTTGCTGTAGATACGAGGCCTTTCCATTCTGGGCGGTGGGTTCTTGTGAACCCCTTTGGGTACTGGAAGAGGATCGGAGATTTGCGTCCATAAGTCCCTTCATCGAGGGACCAAAAGACCCTGGTGCATAAGGTTTTCTAGCGGGATGTACGGGTCTCTATTGGTGATGGAGCAAATGGCATCGCTGCTGGAAGTCCTCTCGAGCCATTTGGTGGCAAGGCGGAGGGTTTAATCGAAGAGCTCGTATTCTTATATCGTTGGTCCGCCCTACCTTGCCTTGGTCGATTGTTTCGCAGGACATTCGACCAGCTCACGGCTGAACATCGAATACTATGTCTTTCATGAGCTTGGTGCCAACATGGTCATCTCTGAGAGGATGTGTGTTTCCCTTAGATTTTCAGTCTTTCGTTCTGAAGAACGGTTCTTCTTTCTCAAAACGCTTGCTCAGTACAGGGTCTGTGGTGAGCGGCTTTGCAACTGTTGTTTCGTAGGATAAGGCGGGGGTTGAGGAGGATGAGAGTGTGGGCAAGGAGCTTGTCGAAGGAGAGCAAGCTGTTGAGGTTGGGGTTTGTGGATCTAGATGGGCGGCAATGCAGAGGGTCAAGGTCTTTTGCCTGTCCTTGTAGGTGCTGGATGCGAACAAGAATTCTTGACAGCAAAGGTACCAACATCTGGAGTACTCCATAGTGAAATAAATGACAGGGTCCACGGAATTCAATGACGGTGTGGACACGTCTGAGAAGGAAACGTGATTTTAGTGCCGTCAGGATCTCTCAGAATCTAACGATGCTGTGAGCATTTTCGACAGCGAATCGGGACCTTCAAGACCCCAAAGGTTGATCGTTTGCCAAGTTCCGCACAGAGACTAGCGATGTAACATTTTTGATAGCCAGTGGGGCCACTCTTTTAGGCTTTAGTACAAGCATCCTGCGACTGCGAGATTGCATACTAGCAGCTTGGAGGTCTAAGCTCTCTTCGCCACCCTGCAGTGTCCCGATGAGAGAATTTCACCTTGCGTTAGTTTATTCATTCAAATGAGGGGAAATTGCTCTAAGCTTGAGCGTAGAGCGGTGAAAGAGACGCTAGCCCTTGCAACCCACTTGATTTTGGAGAATCCCAGGTTCCCCATGAAGATTTGAGATAGGCAGATTCTTGCAAACATTTGTATTCGAACATGATGAACCTGGTTGTTTCAACGACTGTCTGTGTAGCTGTGGAGTTCTTGAGATTCGTCCTGCAGACTTGAGGTTTTGCCTCTGACCACGAAAGCTATTTTGCCCAGACTCACAATTCAATATCTAGAAGAAAACCACCGTTCCAATAGTAGAACCCTAGACTTTTGTAGAAAGTGTTACCGTAAGACCGGTTGATTTCTAACTTGAGGGATAAGGAAAAATTTGCATAAATTACCTAACCCTTCTATCCTAGGTGCCGTATATCGCTGCTACGGTTATGCTGGTAAGCTCTGCCAACTATTCTCTGATTGTTCTACGTGTGTAGCTGAAAGAAGATAAGTACCTTTCTAAGGGCCAGGCTAGGATCATCCCGCCCAGATTGCGGGCCTCTCCAGCCAGAGCCCCTTCCAGCCTCAACACTGCAGACAGATCCAGAAGACAGCATAGCATGAGCTAAGAACTAGGCTCAGTAGAACTTAGCACGTGAAGTGGAGGAATTGCCGTCTCTCTCCTGAACAGCGGACTCAACATATCACGTCTTGCATCCATTTTCTCTGTAGTAGCTTTTTGTGTAGCACCAAGCCTGCCGTCGATCCTCTTCAGAATAGCAATCTTGGAGGTCTTCTTATTGGTTTCTTGCGACGTGAAGAAAGGGAGGTCGAGACCATAACAGCCGCGTTCGCAATGTATGCGAATAATGTATGAGATTTTTGGGTCTGCTTCCTCATGACTCATCTTCGCCACTGCTTCATGTATTTCCAACCCAGCCATCGCCCGCAACAGGACATGTAAAAAATCGACGCGCTCTTTCCCTTGCAAGACTTTCGTGTGAGCGTCAACTTTCAGAGATCAAATGACGTGGCCGTCGGTTTGAAGAAGCTAGCTGATTGCCTGTAGACCGTTGATGACATCTGAAACCTCAAGAGATGTCAGCTGGGAATGGTGCGGACATGCTAAGGATGCTTACCATGGTATCGAGAGCGAGGCGGAGGGTACTTCTGACTTGGAAGCTTGGTGATTGATATTGTTGACGACTCGTCACCTAGCGTGTATTGTATATTCTAGTCGCCAGCCATACGGAGAGGTAACCTGGTCGCTGTCAAAGGTTATTCTTCGTGCAGATGGAAATGGGCGTTTATCTCTAAGCGGCTGAAGACGTAGCCTTGGCGAGGGTAACAGGGTTTAGGGATCATATGGAATCATTTGAGACGATGGTAATAGGACTCATTCAGGCTTCTGTACCAGATCTTGGACAGCTTGATGGAAACAGAGGGAGTCTTAGTCTAATGCATTGCTCTCTACAGTGGGTAAAGTTCGATCTTATCTGATAAGCAGTTTTGGGCTTAGCGCGAGACTAGAAAAACTAAAAATAGTCTCTCCGTGGACGAGGGGGAACAAAGAATTTTGTTCTCTGTTGTACTGAATAACAGGCGAAAACGAGCTGGGGGCAGTAAGTCAGAAGAACCTTGTGATAAAGACATAGATAGCTTTTAATCTTCATGCTAGTCTGCTCTATCGTGCGTCCGTCTGACCACCAGCCCTCACCATTACGCTTGCCTTTTGAATCTCGCTCGCCACATACCAGCTCCTTCTAAGTCCTCGCAACCCCAGCCACTCTGGCATCCTCCAAGTTCAACATAAAGAGCTCGTTCCGCAGTGTCCATCATAAACAAAAGAGAATCAGCCTCCGAGCCTGCTGGGGGCGAAGCGTGATGTAGCTAATAGAAAAAAAGCCCAAAACAAAGCATGTTAGGTGTGATAGACGAATCAGGATCACGAGGGGGAAACCATGATCCAAGAATGTCTAACCTGTGTAGGAGAATTTTTGACATTGCAAAGGTCTCCAGTTAGCCGACCAAAGGTCTAGTCCTTGGGGAGGAAACCGTTTGTGAGAAGGGAAAAATGTGTGAAGCTGCCGCTACATGGTGTTATCAAGCCTCCGCCATTGTATGACTCGGATTTGCGAGGTCGAGACCGAAGGTGGAGACTGTATCGTGCAGCTGATTGCGTGCATTTACGGAAGCGTAATGACCATGCCGCAGAGAGGAGCTTCCAAACATTTGATGAGTGGTTGGCAGTGATACAGCTTGAGGTGCGAGCTATTTTGCCAAATCGTTCGCCCTTGAAGTGAGAAGATCCTAGATAATCGTGTCTGGTATAATCCTGGAGACTCGGTGCGATTGTGACTGGTCTGGGGAGCGTTCTTCATCGGTGGGCCATATCCCCTCGCTTGATTGACTAGAACTCCAATCATCGTCGATGTCCAAGGTATGGTATACCCTGATCCCAACGATCTTCTTGATGTAAAGAGCGGTAGGATCCTCCGGGTCGACATTGTCCCACCACTGTTGCGAATTGATACTGAGGCTGTACTGCATGGGAATGAAGTACTCTGTCGCCGATGGTTTCCAGGCTCCTCTTCTAAGACCCTGAGCTCCCTTGAGAAAATTGGGCCACTTGATAAAAACAAGAGGATTGCTGGCTTTAAAATCGTGGAGTTCAATGGTCCCTCCGAAGACAAAATTCTCCCACGAGTAGCCTGGCTCAGCAACCTTTTCGTCCTCGAACAAGTCTTCGTTTATGTTCGCCTCCTTTTGGTCGCGATGAAATTTGTTCGCGGTCGCATGAACGCGCTGGGATGTTTCTATCTGGCAGTTTCTCAGCAGTCTACGATTAGACGCCATCCAAGCTGCGTGCTAAATGTTTCGAGTCAGCATCTCAATACGCAACAAAGAAGTGAGCTCCAGGATATCCGGTCAGTGAAAAGAAGCCGAGAGAGACATGCTTTAAATCGATGCCTTGCGCTTGACAGGACGATGCCGAGTAGGCAGCATGAACACAGCAGGGAATCAGGACTTCACTTACAGCAATCTCGTGTCCCCATGTCACAGCCATTTTGATCCACATATTGAGCATGCGAGGCCTGCTCTGCGACCCTTCCATGTACGTATTCATGAGATACCGAACGAAGTCCTGGCTGATGCCGATGTGGGGTCGGATGCCGCTTATTTCCTCGGGATCATCATCTTTGATGTTGACTCCTTTCTCATGGTACCTCATACTAGGGACTGTACGTCCCTCATCATTGTACTCGTCCTTGAAGTCATCGAGCGAGATTGTGTGCGTCATGGCGAGACGCTGCAGTGCGGCCCTTGCCTTTTGGTGTCTTGTTTCCATCGGCGTGTCATCGCGCCGATACTCATGAACGGCATCTCCGTTGTGCAGGATCACCGGGTCTGTAGGCTCACGAGGGGCGTAGATCAGGTAATAAAACCAGTCCAGACTTGCGGGGCAAAGGAGGAAGTTTGTTGCTAGTCGGAACACCGGTTCGAGTGACCCACGGATCGCCCAGTACTGCTCAAAAGTTTGATCTTGCCATATTCTCATGCGTCGTCCCGGGATGTTAAACTGGAAGAGGTCGTGTATCTCTCCAGTCAGACCAAAGTTTTCCGGAAGCCTAGCTGGGAGCAGATCGTGTACCTCTTCCGTTAGACCTAGATCGTCCAGAAGCCTAGTTTGGAGCCTGACAAATCCGAGTGCCGCCCAGTCTTTGTTCAGGACATCCGGGTATCTTGCTCTGACTGCAGCATTGGCCATTGCGAGTGATTTCTTGAGGGTCAGATCCGGAACTTGAGGTTTGACTATTCAACAACACAAGGCTTCTGAAAAGCACGAGGTCGAGTCCAAGGATCACCGATAAAGCTGACAGGAGTAAGAGGAAGTAAAGTCAGGTGCTGTGTCTTGCAGGGTGCGGAGCTGTGAAGGAGGCGTCTCTGGAGTACTTGTGTCAGACAAAGAATTCTCTGACCTCCAAGTGTGCGCTCGGTAATTACAATTTCAACCTCCGGTTGGTCTACGTTTATCCGTAACACAGTTGGACCCCTGTCGAAAACCCCTTTTCAAACTCTACTCCGAGGCTCGCAGAGATTGCTGCCCTGAACTGAGGACAAAAATGTAAAAGGAGAGAATATCTCTTATGCCCTGCCTCGGAATTTACAGTACAAGGATTCCCTCAATATCCGGGGAGAAAAAAGCATCTCTTGGAGAGCCACTATACTTATGGCTATATATGTATGTACCAAATTCTTTTCAGCTAATTTAGTAGTACGGTCGCGAGGAAGGAGCCTATCTGGTAGCGGTCACGAAAGCGAAGTGATGGAATGATTAAAGTGCTATCAAGGCAATGGAAGATAAATACAGCGGGATTCAGAGCTTCAGAGCAGCTGCAGCTTCGGCCAGAAACCTCCATATGTTGGCCAATGTATCGTGGAAGTCCCGCTGCGCTCAACTGAGCCTTGAAATGGGAAAGTGTATCATATGCTTTTGGCATTATCGCCGGTGATTATCGGAGTATGAACGATTTTAGGAGAAGCATGTGCAGTCAAGAGTATGTTCAGAAGAACTTCTGCAATGAGGATGGAAGAATTGCCGTATACACGCCGCGCCACTTAGCCGGTAGAAGAGGATTTTGGCTGAAGAGGGTGGACACGTTCCTAGGGAAGTGGAGATATTTGATTGTAGGTCACAGGACGAAGATGTCAGGAGGGAATAAGATTGTCGGCGAGAGGCTCTGGAAGAGAGTGTCAGTCATGTAAGCCATGCGGCATGGAGGGCAAGAATACAAAATGCATACCGTGGATACGATATCTGGCTATCCAGGATCCTTGGGAATCGACCAGATATTAGCTGCGTGCCTCAGTCTGTTCCCAGAGCTGTCGATCGATCCGCTCTTCCCTTGATTCGTTCGCTCTCGACACTTGCAGTTCCTCGCCAGCCTTTTCTCTGCAGATTCTTAGTAAAGAGGGGCGAACCAGTGGATACTCGCCCTCGCTTGAGTCGTTAATATTCCAATCAGGGTCTTCAAGTTCAGAATATGGGCAGCTCGTTCTGATGCCGATCCATTTTTTGATTTGGAGGGCAGTGAGATCCCCCTCTTTCATGTCGTCCCAAAATCCCTGCCTGAGAAGGTTCAAGATGTAGTGCATCGTCACAACATACCTCGTCATCATCTTGCGCCACAGACCCCTTCTGTGGTAGTTTTTGCTGGCCCAGTAGGATGGCCACTTGCTAAAGAAGAGGCACTTGTCTACGTCCCCTTCGAAGTGAATGTGGCCACCAAAAACATACTTCTCCCAGACGTACCCCACTTCTGCGTCGGTATCATCCTCATGCAAAGGCTCGTTGCTCTGTACATCCTCCTTCTGACGTCCGCTCTTCGTCATAGCCGCATGCCTGCGAAGGCTTGTTTCCTCTAGTGTGTCTCTGAGCAATGGCGAGTCGGTTGCCATATACTTTGCGTGGAAGAGCTCGTGGCAGATTGTTGCAGCTCCTTTTACCGTAAGGCTGCAAACTTTGAGGGTGTTGTCGACACCTTTTTCGTTGCGTAACCGCCTGAGTTCGGTTATCAGTCTTTCGTGGATCCAGACCGTCGAGCCGATGCCTTTGGCCAAGTCCGTATCATCCTGGATGTTCACTCCGCGTGGATGTACCCCAAGAAAGAGCGTGTTCAAACCAATGACACCCGCCATGTCGGGGTTTTCCTTCTCTGAAACAACCCGAAAGCTTACTACACCCGCAAGCCGGTCGAGCGCAGCGTTGGCCAGGTCTCTTCGCTCCGGCCAATAGGCCTCTGTCGTTTCAACATGACGGAACTCTAGCACTGGCTGGCCCTCAAAGTTCACACGCTTTTTCGGATATACCCGTGGGCTGTAATAGAGGTCGTAGTCGGCGTTCAGGCTTGGCGGAGACCGGAGAAACAACGATGCTAGCTGGAGCATCTGCCTTATGTCCACTAGGTAGTCTTCGTATTCAGCATTAGTGAGAGGATGCCATATTGGAACGCTCAGCGATGGGTGAGTGTAATGAAAGATTGGGTCGATCTCGTTGGTCAGACCCTCAGTGTCGTCGTTGGGTGTTGTGGAATCGGAGTAACCCAGCTTCTTCCAGTCCTCGGGCTTGAGCACCCCTATCTTGTTCCTGGCTTGGGTATCCATTACGAGTCTTGGATTCGGCTCGAGAAGAGATAAGAAGGGAGAGATCCGTCGCGAAACAAGGAAAATGCGACAGACGCTGATTTAGGGAAGGCGCGAAGAGGAGAAGGAGACCGAGAAGATAGATCTATCTCAGAACGAGCTATTTGATGGAGAGTCTGATGTGGAAGTTAAAGCAGTCTAATCTGTCTTATGTGATGCGTCGAAGTGGACGACAAGATGTAGGTCTTGAAAGGTAAGACAGAAGAATTCTCCGAGCTTTCACTGCAGGACTGAAAATATCCCGCTTAAACGGCGTGCGGGGTCCTTCGAAAGATTAGGTTTATAAACGCTTTGGGCAACTGCCACGGCTCCGTTATAGGGGCTCTACATTGATAAATTGGCTTTGGGGGTCTGACGTATTGGCAGGACTATCTGTGACTCAGATTTCAAAGCAACAGGTTTTGACTTGGTCCAGATACCATTCCCTGACACGACTCTATAAAGACAATAGCATGCGACTCGAAGCAGTGTAGATGCACTGGATGAAGATAATAAGCGCCGGCCTCACAAGGCTTCGAAGTAGCGAGAATACAACTCAAAGAAGGATAGACGTGGAGACTTGACATTGTGGTATTATGTATATGTATGGGGTCACATTCTGTGAGGCCTTGGAAAATCAGCGAAATCGCTCTCATGGGTGGACGTGGAAGAGAGCTTTACCTCCAGCCAAAGACAGCCACATATCCACTATCGTCATTCTTCATACCCTCCGTTCTTCCGCCGTTTCATTCGCACGCGAATCTGACGGATCCGGAATTGTCTGACCATCCTTCTCCCTAGACACGCGGCTGGAATTCTCCTCGTCATGAGGCCAGTTGATCTCACTGGAGTTGACTGAAATAGCCTCTGTATCTGGATTACCGTATTCAATCCCGACAGTCTTCTTAATGTACAGAGCATTGGTATGCTCAGACCTCACGTTGTCCCAGAAGCCCTGCCGGTGCATGTTTCGAATGAAGTGGAGGGATACGACGTATTTCCTCGCGGTACGCTTTTCCTTCCCACGTGTTGGACAGTAGTCGTCGTCGCTGGTAAGGAACGAAGGCCATTTGCTGACGAAGAGAGGATCACTTAAGTTTCCGGACCAGTTGATCTTCCCACCGAAGACCTGGTTCTCCCAGCTATTGCCAATCTCTGCCATTGTTTCTTTTCTGTAGTATGGCTCGTCGGTACGCAACTCCTGGACCGGGTACTCGTACGCTCTGCCCTCTTTGTGTGCCTGGTCGGCGGCGTTGTAATGTCTGATTGACATCTCTAAATACTCACGATTCACAGCAAAAGCAAGAGCATGCTAGAAACCTTAAAGTCAGCATGTATATAATAGAGAGTAGGTGAGATAGCTACCAGCAGCATTGGTGGGTACTCAAGAGCTGCCTCTCATAGCCTTCGAAGAACAAGGAAATGTACTTACAGCGATTTCGTGACATAGTGTTATCGCCATCTTCACTTGAAGGCTCAGCTTCTGAGATGTGGTGTCTCCCTCTTGAGCATCAAGCTCCTTGAGCTTGAGGATCCAAGACCCGTTGAGAGTGATCCTGCTCGCCATACCCGTTTTCCTTGAGACATCGTCTATCGCCACCCCTGCCCCAAAATGCACCAGGGTTGCGGCGGTCACTGCAAAAGAGCCTTGGACTTCAGGGTCGGCTTCAGGATCCCCAATTTCGAAGGTAAGGGAACGTGAGAGGTGACGAAGAGCATTCCTGGCCATTTGACGCCCCGTAAATGGCGGATCGGTCCACCCAAACTCTTTGCACGGGCGTCCTTGGTTGCCGAAGCCTACGTTCGAAACTTTTCGAGGGCTGTAGGCAACTTGGTAGAGGAACTCCAAGCTCTTTGGTGATTCGAGCATTTTGGAGGCCAGCTGAAAGACGGTACCCATCTCAGCGCACATTGCATCGTATTCGCCCTCTGATTTGTATTGGGGCCAGATGTGCTCTGCACCTCGTGGCCTCAATGCTTGGGTGCGCTGGAAGATAGGGTGCACTTGGTTTGTCAATCCTAGACCATGTTCAGCATGTTCAGATTGGTACCCAAGTTTGACCCAGTCCTCGTTCAAGAGGGCTGCGTATTTGCTTCTGAATGCGGAATTCATTGCAAATGAGGGTGACAGAGAGGATCGAGAAAAAGATGCCGCGAGGATAGGACAAGGTAGGGTTAAATAGGTAAGCTGTCTGCTCGAAAGAAAGAAGCTTTTTGGTGCGTCTTGTTGAGTGTGTCCGAGTGAACGTTGTGTCTTTGGGTAAGATACAGGATTTTCTTAGGATAGGAGTGTGTGAAACCACTCGCTTAACCGCGGCCCACTTTTCCAATAGGAATACTGTCGTCATAACACATCTGGACGCCCTATCGGACCTTGTCATACCGGATCCACCTCCAAGGGGTCCCCTGCACTGAACGGCTGAATAGTTGTGGCTCGAACACCAGGGCAGTTGTTCCGGGTTGGCCAGGTTCACTCTTTCAGAGACAGGACTCGACTATCTGAATTCCTTATTGCCGCTTCGACCTGCTTCTTACCTACGTTGATCTCTCGTAGGATTCTCTTCCAGTTGGTCTTGATGGTCTGTTTTTAATTGAGAATGTTGAGTTGGGTAAGCTCCTACTCTTCCAGCTTTTTCGCCTGCCTGCACTTTTCCTAACCGCCACAGTGAAATTGCTACCACAGAGCACAAAGCCATCTTCGCTTCATTCTGAGGCTTTCAAGCGACGAGGTTGATACTCGTCGAACGATTGAACCTGCTCCAACCTGACAAGACCGCCAGCTACTGACACCTCCCCCAATGACAGAGTGCATTAATGATGTATTACTAGTGTGGCTTCTTTTCTTGATGCCCGTGCCATAACGTAGATGATATATTTAGAGATAATGATGTAGGCGGGAGAGATCTTCTATTTCTCCAACCTAAGGATAGAATTGGCATCGATATCCACTCAAAGCGCCAGAGAAACGATCACGTCGACTTCAAAAAGTCGCCACCGTAAGTAGGTAGAAGTACGCATTCTGAGCTCTATTCACTTGAAATAGATCATCAAGAAATTTGCTTCAGTAAAGAGATTTAGAAAAGCAAGCGTTACAGCTGCCTGCTTGGACACCCTCTTCGCCAGTTGAATGCCGATTACAAAACCAGTATCATACCCAGAACTCAGTGCTCTAGATTCCGATGTTAGCGAGGACAGTCCATTCCACTATCGCAATACGTACCATGGTCACCAATACCTTCCCTCTCCATAACCTTCTCTTCCATAAGGTCGCCAATGTATGCAAGCCAGACATCACTTGCTACCGGAGATGTAAATAGCTAAGCTAACGATATGTGGCATAGCCCTAGAGGCTGCAATTTCAGAGGCAATTGCAACCCCTACAGGCGTCCCCATTTTGTAAAGGCGAGCTACCACGCGAGGTGTAAAAGTGTCGTAACAGGCAGACCTATAGCACCATAGGTTCCTTCATCCTCAAGCAAAACCCTAGATCGATCAAGCAGAGAGTAATCATTGAGTCGTAACGGGCTGTAGCAAACGAAAAGCCAAGGAAATCCGTAGTCAACCTCCTAGCACCAACCCTCACCATTCAGATCCCAAGCCTGAGCATCAGAAAGCTTTCTCTCCTTCAAGCGGACACCTAGCCGGCCCTTCCTAGGAGGCCCTGTAGCAATGTAGCCATGTAAATGAGAAGTCGGGGTAGCAACATCCTAGCAAAGCATCCTGACATCAATTCACCAGAGTCCTAGCACCCAACCACTCATCATCCCAGGAAGTGCTCAAGCTTCAGCTCGTATTCAGCCTCGATGCTGGTTCGTATCTCCAGCCGAGTCTTCTCCATCCACTCCTTGTTGACTTTAGCCTCTAGCTACTTCTTGTATTGGCCAATCTCTTGCTACCGGATATTTTGACGCATCTCCTCCTCCACATCCTTCTGTGCCTTGTTCTCTATAGCGGCACCGTGCTTTTGCTTGTAGCTGTCGTAGAGATCATTCTCAGCCATCTGCTCTATGCGTTTCTCATAGTCTTCAGAGGACCTTCTGAGTCGTACTATGCCTTCTTTAGCCTGAACGCAGCTTTGCCGGGTTTGGAAATAGGCAGAGAGAGAAGCTTGTCCATGGACTGAGCTCCAAACACGTCTCCTGCCCAGCATCAGATGCCCCTCTGTTCCCGCATCCGAGCCTGCGATTGGTTCCTACCATGATCCTCTAGCAAAGCCGCACCTTCATATAAGCAAGACCCTCCATACTGTGGAATTTGGTGAAAGGCTTGCCCAATGTCTGGGCTTTGGCATTTGATCAGTGGTTGTCCCCGGGCATGAGTCTCATGATGGCTGAAAAGAGGAGCTTTGAGGCTATCTTCATTTGTTCCGGTGGGAGATGGCAGGCACCGTGAAACTAGAAGCTTTTGTCGGCAGAACTCGTCCTGTCTCCAGAGCAGAGCTGGACGTCGCGAAAGTGGTCCCGTTGCACTGATCGCTGGCTACCGGCCCTACCGCCTTCAGTAAGGGCACAGGCTTCGGCGTTAACCAGCAATCCCGAACCCATCACTCGTCGCCGGGGTCAGAAAATGGCTTTCGGATGTGGAATGGCGATGGTAACCTGACCAGTCTCGCCTTTGGTATGCTCGCAGCCGTTTAGACCGCTCATCGATGGGAATGCGGATCTCTTCGCCGCAGTCCTCAGGGCACTGATCCAGAAAATTAAGAAGATTCGGGACACCAGAGAATAGGACGACTTTCGCTTCACAAAGCCTCAATTTGTATTCGCGAGTGCAGTACGTAAGCCCAGCATCTTTGCTCCATACTGTTGGTCTCTTAAGTTCCTCACGTCATTCACCAGGTGTCTCAACACCGTATCACAACACCGACGCAGGAAGCTAGCTAGGCATATGCTGAAGGGGGAAAACGAAAGACATATGACGTATCCCCAACAGCAGCCCGCCAGGATACTGCCCAACTCGCGTTGGGTTCATGCCACATCGTTGTGACGAAGTGCGATTGGCGTGAAGGCCGATATGTGTAGCCTGCTGCGAGTAGTCAATGGGTAGCATGAGGTTAGGTCTTCCTTCAAGAAGTTCGAGAAACGTCTCCATTGTTTCTGTGTCATGTCAACCCTCGTCGAAGCGCTCGTCGAGGTATACAATCCCTCATGGAATGTCACGGATTGGCAGTCAACGTTGGGGATGAGATGTGTATTGTTGTGTATCATTGCCGAATCTTTGATGTCCATAGCGAAATGTAGCTTGTCTCGAACGATACCGCTCTTGCACTATGGCAAGTAAATGGTTCCTTAGACTGGAATATTTAGATCTCCTCATCAAGTGTCCTAACCCTAAGAAGCTGGGCAAAGGGAGAGAAGTCAGGCCTGTCCAATATGTATCCTCGCCACGCAAGGCGGTGAAAATGTCCACTTGCGCGTATGAAGTCGACTTCCCCTTCCCTTTGACCCCAAACCCGTTCTCCCTGCCCTTCCACCATGCCGTGAAAACTTTCGCGTTGGCTCCATTGTCTGCAAACGTTGTAAGCTCTGAAGTCGATTCCAAACCAAGGTATCCTGCTAGCAATCGGTCGCTCGTAAAAATCTTATCAGCATCCAACACCAAAACATCTCGCGGGTTCCTGGTAAGTGCGGACTGTCGTTTCTGATACTTTTGGCCTGGCGTTTCCTCTACTCCAGTCTTCTTCGGATTTTGGTGAGGGGTATGAAAATGTAAGATGGGGTATGAATTTGTAAGAATCTCATAGTTTGGGGTATGATTTTGTAATTTGCCCCTAGGCTCCGGCTGTTTATCAGCTCTCGTAAAGATCAGTGAAACCGTGGAGCGCGCTGCTTCCACTATCGAGAAGAACCAGTCAGAAAGACATGGATTAAGCCGTGAGGGATTTTGGAGCAATCGTACAGTGGGTTGTGTGTTCCCAACAAGCTTATGGATGAGAGCAAAACGTGTAAAATGCTGCCCTTTTGTAAGCAGAAGTACAAAGTTGAAAACCTAGAGATGGGGAAACAAGCAAGTGACGAAGGTCATCTGCAGAGAAGCCGAATTAGGCAAATGATGACAGAGACAAGCAAGCAAGGAGCTGAAGGTCACAAGTAGCAGATCAGAGGTGAATATGTAGTGGCAGAGGTGAAACGACCAGAGAGTTGGGAGATTGCAAACTGTAAAGGGAGTCATGCGAGTGACCATCCAGGAGAACAAGCAAGGAGATTGAGGCCATAACCAGAGAGAAACAACCAGGCAAATGGTGGCTAATCCAGATGATTGAAGGTTGGAAGAGAATTTCCTGCCACATAGAATGCATGATAGTAATCATGAATGAGTAAACAATCTCCCACGACTGAGCTAAGTGTTGACAACGTGTTGATTGACTTTCGATGTGGGTAAATAGCCCCCATCTGGTTGCAGACTCTCAACCCTTGGCACTAGCACCACGGTAGTAAGCCACAGCGTGATTAGGGCACTTGTACTCGTGATCGTTGCAGTACTCCTCCACAAGTTTGCCTGGGGTCGACGACTGGTTGCAAATGTTGTTGCAGCTCCTCAGCGTTTGCCACAACAATTACGGAGCGTGATGTTGATTTGCATGCGCCCAGCCAAGAACGATGGAGATCACTAGAAGTTCTCGGTAAGGGCTACCAGAGTAGATGTCGAACCCTATATACCGGGATTTCTGAATGTGGTGTGGACTGGATGCTGGGAGTGAATGTAATGTGAAGCGTCTGCTGGTTTTTTACCATAGAGCTCAAAGTAGATACACTGGGTCTTGAAAGTCGCAACGGACTATATCAATTTCAGAAGTGTAAAGAAGTATGGCAGTTGTGGTTCGAAGCAGCTGTCAAAGTGCGTTCGCGACAAACAATGAGAGTTCGAGATAGAGGCAGATCAAGGATGTTCCTCCATACCGCCTTCCCTGAAACGAGCTTTAGACATGAGTTTATGATGAAAGATGTAGAAGAAGCCAAGCGAGACACTACAGCGACTTCACGTCTTCACAAGGAGATGCCAAAGTGACAAGCAAAAGTGACAACCCGTCCCGCTTCATGTTCATCTCGATCCTGCCTCTCGAAGATCTCGATTATGTCGATTATGTCGCCGCCTCAGTCTTCCATGACCAGTGTCTCCATCGGTACAAGAACAATCTCCTTTGGTCCTGCGTGCAATCGCATGTTGGTGCTGTAAAGCCAGCAACATTAGAGCCAAAGTCAGAATTTTGTCAACAGTGGTAACAGATTAGCATGAGCATGCTGCACGGTTGGCTGTAAAGGCGAATTTCGGATTGGGTTGTGAGAATTCAGTTCCCACTTGGTCTAGCTTCGGTCTCAACGCTCATGTAGTCCTGCCACAAGTTGCACTCCATGATGTTTGTCAGCATAAGTCATTTGCATTGGCTTTCAAGGGCCATTTGAATTGCCATTGTTCAGCGCACGAAATCCCTTTCGAGGGGCTGTCGGAGCTGAAGGGTATCGGTGCCCTGTTCTTTGGTCTTCCACATCATGTCATTCACAGCGTGGAATGACACTGTGAGATTGTGAAGCAAATCAGGTATTGGTTGGTGTCACTCACTTTTGTTGATGTCTTGGGTAGTACTTTTAGAGGCTTGGAGTGATTTCTGAGAAAGTGGAAGAGAAGGCTGACGAAGTTGGTCTGGTATTTATACTGTTGTACGTATTCCCAAGTCTGTGTCTAGTCAACTCCTGTTAGTATTACACCTCTTTTTGTAGTGACGCATCGATTCTCACCGTGTATATGATGATTCCAATTGAGACTGGATATGTATATAGATGACTTTAACTGGAAAAGCTTCATTGATTGTCCTGGTGAAGGTCAACACATCCCCTGTGAAGCTGCCAGCAGTGAATCTCCCTGTCTACATGAAGTTCAGGGAAACGGTCTGTGAAGTCCACCAGGCAATTGAAGCAGATGCAGTCAAAGGCGACTCACCCAAATGAGACCTCGGTAGTAGGCTCGAATGCCCAATGCGAGTTTTCGGATATTTTCAAGCAGTGCTTTGCAGTACGGTAGAAGCTCAACCTCGGCGTCTGTCAACTTGTGGTTCTGGTGGGACAACAGCGGGTATCGCCAACGGCCCTTGGAGTAACCCCTTGGAGTAACGGTGTCTCGAATCATGATTGAAAGCGTAGTTGTTCCTTGGAAAGGGTTTTCCAGGTGCTCGGCTAGAGGCAAGTGGTAGCACTACGTGCTGAACTGGACAATGGTCATTCTTTTGCCTCATTTTATACCTCGCTGATCCGTACTAACGCTGTCCTTGAGCCTGCAAGTCCTTCAATGCGCGAGCCTCTTCCTCAAGCATGCCCTGTATCTGGAAGTCAATCTGGAGACAGGTCCCAGACACGACGCTACGACTTCGAAGATCTCTAATTCTTGGTATTTGATTGCAAGAGTGAATCATAGGCAAAATCCAAGAGTGACGAATAAAGTAACGGACCTCTAAACTCAAGCGCCTGGTCCAAGTCATCATTAGTAGCCAGCAACGGCCGCGTGTGCATGTACTCACTGAATCATGAAGTGATTGCAGAGATACGAGGTATCCTTTCTGAGCCCTTCAGCTTGGCCTGATCTGTTAGTAAAATCATTGTCTTTTGTTAAGCACCTTCTCAGTTTCAGTACATCGGAACCACAATTCCATGTAGTAGTAATGGTGGCATCGTCATTGAGGTGCTAGACGTCGAGTGCCAAGATTCTATGTAGTGGTCCACTGGCGTAGGTGCTGAATGCGGATATGGTGTAACTTCGTTTTCACCGTTTTTTTTCAATCGCGCCTTATCGATCAACTACTTCGCTGACAAGTTCGGTCAAAAGGTGAATAGACAGATTGCCGCTTAGATGATGAACTTTGTTCCACATATTGAACTGTAAAAGGGCCCACAATGAAATGTGTGCACCAAGGACAGAAGTTCCGTCCCAAGTGCTTGAAGAACCGGTTGGAGGACTACAATTCGGGGAAAAGGAGAGCTCGGAGTGGACTGGAAGCAAGAGGCGAGGAGTCTTGAACTCTCTACGCTGAATGTAGATCATGAAGGGCTCGAACTTCGAAACACAGAGCGGGACTTGATGGCCTTCGCAGGAGTCTGGGCGAGGAGCGAGATACATTATGGCCAAAGATACATGGCCAATCCACGGATAAGATGGTGGTTTGTGGCTAAGGATTAGGGCATCGAGACTGTCGTTTTTGGGGATATGTGGCGAGAGCATATCTGAAACGGGATCGATGGCTGTGTACGCGTGGAGATCGAGGGGGGTTGGTAACATGGTAAGCGCTTGTATCTTGAGTTGTGGGAGGGCCAGATATTGGGGCCTGGGGTTGATGAGATACAACTGCCAGGACTGCATATGGTCTTGTAAAGGACCCGAGTAAAGTACCAATGCAGAAAATGAGGAGAAGGGGGACGAGGAAGCGGTGGGTGACATAGCCCCATCTATGTGCGGATATTGTGGGATTTCCCACTCTCATTAGCTCCCCGTCTGCCGGTCCCTAATTTTCAACAAGCTCCACGTCCATGCATAATTTGTCTACCACCCTTCACCACCTTTCCCCATTCTCCAGCCCATCCAATCCCTGCTCATCCGAATCATCCTCCGCGCCTGTGTATTGGATAATGTGTGCATTTAGTGGTCTCATATGCATGTAGAATAAGTATTCTATTGTGATGTTCTATGAAGGATGTAAGAAGGATGGAGGTGGACTACCTGTTCATGGTGTGAAGCCCACGCTAAGGCGATTTGCCACTTGTGTCATTGCCACCATGAGGAGTAGTAATAACACCTATTGGAACTTATCAGTGTAGCCATGCTGGCCTCCTATTGGCTGATTCCAACACTATGAACCGTCCCGGCACCACCCGCGGCGATGCGCCCAAACCGCGCATCGAGCTCCAGCAACTCGCGTTCCGTGCGGGGGAGGAAGGGCCCGACTTTCCGGACGAAGGCGCCCGCGTGAGCGGCTGCGCGGTCGAGGGCGTCGAGGGTGTCGCGCTGGCGCCGGTGTTGCTTCATCAGGAGCAGTGGGCACGACAGGGACCGACCCAGTGGAGGTCCATTGGGGCCGTGGAAGAGGCGGTAGGATAGGCGAAAGGTGAAGCGAAAAGGGTAGAGTATGACCCCAAGAAGAAGCCTTAGGGTTAGGGTTATTGCCCACGTGCTTAAAGAACTCCATCCAGTGTTGAGGACCTGCCACTTGGCGGATTTCCCAAAGACCTTGGCGAACGGGGAGCTAATGCTCCTAGGAGATGTCCTCAGTAAGCATGACAAACGTATCAGGCGGAATACTGGTTGCCGTGATCACGATCTGTGTTAGGCTGATTAATTCAATCAGGGCCTTGTGAGATTTTGGTTCATCACCGTTTCCAGGCCTAGTATTGCGCGCACATGGGGTACCATTCGCTGGGAGCGCGAGCCAGTTCCGTTGACCGACATTGGAGGCAGTAGAAGGCGTGATGGCTGCTGGTGCTGTGGTGGGAAGACATGGGTTAGAGCTACCAGGCAGGGGCAGGGGATGTTGTTTCTCCTGAATGGGAAATATTGTAGGGATCTCTAATGTCTAGACGGCGTTATCAATTACTGAGTTCGAAGTGATGAGATAAGCAGTGATATGGTATGACTTGACTTACCCGAATGACCCCGAGGCTCATAACACGTAGAGATTGGTATCTGGACTTGTTCAACACTCAGACGTTCCCCGGAATTGGCGAGCCTATCGTCATCTCCTGCCGGCCAGTTTTCGGCTGTGTCCGTGGCGGTGTGGTGTTCATGCCAGGTATTGATATGGGTGGGTGTGTACTGTGGGAATCTCCACCCGTGGTGAGAACATGACCCAAGAAGAAGCCAGGCGGTGCCGATAATCCAGGCAGTGACAGCCCAAATAATGTCCAGAACCCCTTTGTCGCCGTGCGCTGGCCGTCACTCGCTTTGTCTAGCCTCACCTGACACATGATCTGGCCACCTTGATCACCATCACCATGCGAATGGTCACAGCCAAAATCCAGGCGGACATTGCGGCTGACCGCATCCGCAAGGTTTGTTGCCTGGCTGCAGTTGTGTTGGGCATCGGCGTCCGGTACCTGGTGTACCGCAACAGCGCTCGTCGGAGTACTTCTCGCTTTTCGGGATAACCTGGTCTTGTTCGAGGTCGCATTGTCTGATAGGAAACGTCGTGAGACGGACAAAGAGACTGGGCCGCTATTGCATGACCAGACAATGTGCAATTTTGGTTGCTCCAGGAAAGGATGCGGTGCTGATTTTCCAGTCAACAGGCTCTGCCCCTGTGGTAAAGAACACGGTTCCAGGCCTCACTCATGGGCGAAGACTGTGAGGTCCACGGCCTTTCAGAGTCCCGGTAGGCAGACTTTGCTTTGGCTGCATAAGCAGCCAAGGAGTTGGCCAATGCACAAAAGTATGCTTGGAGTATGTCGCTGTGGAGGAAGTTGAAAGTGGTAGAGGAAGCCTCCAAAAGCCGAACACGACGGCTGCTGGCATCAAAGGCTGCTGCAGTGGCATTTCTGGCCATGTTGAGCTTGTCGCACTCGGTAGATTTTGCGCTGGCGGCATAAGCAGCAAAGCTAATTCCGAAGACCTTAGCGGCAGCTATCATGTTCGAGATGAGCGGCGAGTCTCTCTCGTAGACAGTTGGTAAGATTTGTCCACAGACGTTAGCGGCCCAGGTGTAACATGCTGCCGATCCTCCATGCCCCGAAGGCATTGGGTTGTGAGTCGCAAACTCGGGCGACGAGCCGAAATCAGGCGTGGCGAACGGTAGCTTTCGCCATTGCACGCCAATCGTACCATGCTGCAGAATTGTCAGAAAGGATCAAAGCCAGCCTAGAGACCGCTCTGGCAACGGGATGCTGATAGCGACTCACCTGAGACGGCATACGGCTGCAAACCGAGGACGACTGGAAGCCGAGAAGGAGGATGAGGTAACGGTCTTGGGGGTGGTGTATATATATAATAGAACAGACTAACGAAAGCCAACCTCAAAAACCCAAGAGAAGAAGTTCTAGAGAAAGAAGAAAGAGCTAGACAGACGGAAAGAGAAACAAAACGCCCCCAAATTGTAGCACACGAGACGAAGGAGATGAAGAAGTAAAGCGGACCCGGAGCCCCAATGTATATCTTCTCAGCGAGGGACTTCGATAGAGCGCACGTCTAATAAAAACTACTGATCAGCCTACGACACGAGCGCGATGTAGAATTCCGCTCCTGCTTCATCAAGAAATTTGACACAAACTTCCAGCAACGGATTCGCAATCCGAAACGAAGAGCCGACTTGATTGCTAGAGAGATTGGTGCGCGTAAGCGACCGCATCGAGGGGAGGAGGCTGGGACGCTGACGCTCAAAGCCGTCTTAGCATCAAAGCAATGTAAATGCGAGATGGCAAACAGATGCAGGTTGCCGAAAAATACGAGGTCAAATTCAAGGTTCGGATTTGCCTGCTTCCGAGATTTGGAAGCTGGTTATGGTTTAAGTTGATTATGTGGGAACTGACTAGTAATGCAACTATGCCATATCAGCTCTCGTATGTGCTCGATTTTTTGGGGAAAAAGATCGGCCCGTATGCAAGTCTCCTCGGATAGTCCGTCCCCGTCGCTCATGATGCTTTCGACTGCGGGACCGCACCTCAGTACATGTGGTAATGACATTCTTCATCCTGCCCTCACCGCCTTCAACCCCATACACTCCTCATACTTTTCCCCTAACAGCATCTTCCACTCATCATCTCCACAAACAGCCTGGATCAGATCATTCGCCTTGATCACCCTCTCCTTCCACAAATCGTGTCTCGCATCCGGCTCCTCGGACTTGATCAGATTCTTCGTAATCCGTATCGTAGACAGCATCTTCACGGCACTGTGTGACATGACGGTCATCTGCAGGTAGTCGGTGCCTTGAAATTGGGCGGCCACGTGCTCCGGTGCGTCGATGCCGCCTGTGACATCTGCCGTTCTCCGGTGTGGGTCTACTAGGAAAGCGTCTAGCTCAAGGCAGGTAGGACAGCCGTATGGCCTTGTAGAATTCGCACATCCGAGGGGCGGGCAGGTGAGGTCCATGGATAGCGGTGTCGGCTCTTTGCCTATGTAGCGGGTGATGAAGAGGGATATGACTTGTTGGAACTGCCATTGGTAGATTCGCGTCATCAGCGGGATGAGATAGTCTTGCATTACCGCCAGTAGCTCCTTGAGATATGGTAGGAAGACGTATTGTAAGGTGGGGGCATCAGCTACGTTTGCGCCTAGCCACATGTACCGGAGAAGTGCATGTTCTTCGTTGTAAAGACCCACTGTAAGACAGCAACGCACTAAACGCGCCATGCGGTCTGCTTGCAACCTTTGCTGCTCTTGAGGCGTGGCATTGGCAAACGTTGAGTATCGGGATCCTTGGTAAAGAGACCAATTGTAAGCGCCTCGCGCGCATAAGGCTGGGATTGAGGCGGAGAGTATCTCGGCAAGAGCATATCTGGCAGATCCCGCGTCCATTGTACCCTCAACAAGCTCATCGTAAAGAAAGAAAGCAAACTCGATGGCAAAGGCATGACTGGAGCTATGTCTCTTTGCGAAGGAAATGAACCTGCTAATTTCAGCCGTGCATTTACTGCAGTATGGTGTCAGCCCTTACCGATGCATGGGAATCTCCTTGGCGAATCTCTTGGCGACCAGGACGAGCATAGCCCCATCGTTCTCCTCAACTCGGTCTATCTCATTCAATGCCTGCTCGATGTGGTCTGGAATCCATTTGTGGACATTCTTCATAATCTCTTGCGGCTCGTTCTGTTTCTCGCATCCCACACAAATGCTCTGTAAGATGATGTAGCGATCCTGAAAAGAGTTGATCTTCGTTAATGCTTGATTGAGACTGGACGTCCAGTCAGCGATAACGTTGGCAGCATTGACAAAAATCTGACTGCTCACAAGCTCCGATACGAGAAGAACTGAGCTAGCTCCATTGTGCTACCCAATTCTTCCCACATGTCCAAGGATAGCATACTTGGATTCAAAGTGACGGCCTTTTGGAAAAGGTCTGAGTCTCGAAGTCTGATAGAGGCGCGAAAAACGGCTTCTAGCATTGCAGATTGCTCTTTGTGTTCTCGAACAATTCCACGGCTCGAGCCAGTGGTAAGCCATGCGCCGATATTGTTCAACTGAGTCTTGCACGCCAATCCCAAGCCCCAACGCGCGTTTGGATCCGCCCCTGCTAGATCGGTTTCCGATGGCGGTAGGTCTGCTGATTGTGTTTTGATCCAGTCATGAAGCGCCTCAGGATCAGCGTTGGCCGTCAAGAACTTAAATCGGTAGCCTTCCGGCATGATCAACAATACCTGTAAGGTGTGAGACGAAATCTTGACGGGAGTAACGCAGATGAATGTGGGACGGACTTACCCAATCCTGGAAGCTCTTCGCGGTATCTGTCTGGACGGATGGGGTTCCGTCGGTGGGACTGGGATAAGGGTTTTGACGTGCGATTCGTTGGTGGTATCTCTGCTTCAAAATGCCTTTCTGGAGAAGACTCTCCCTGCCCACAGCAACAGGCTTGTTGCCAAGTAGTCCCCCACTGAGATCACGTATCTCGTGAAGACTGATAGCCATCTTCAACTCGAAGGCATCGTCAGGATCCGTGTTGACTGCACTCGTCATCTTCGCCAGGTGAAGGCAAACACCCCGTTGCAAGCATTGTTGCTCAAGGAGGCGTGTCTTGATTTTGTCAATAGTCTCTAAGTCGTGGTAGTCGAGCAACCGACCTTCGTACTGCTCACTGCGATCGCCCAGAACGTAGATTAGATGACTGTGAGTTCGATCTTTCCGCCATATCTCGAGCCACTGTGAAAGAAGCCCATCGAAGTAGGAAGAGCGCTCTGTTTGGGGTTCTTTGATATCATCTAGAAAATTTCGTAGCAATGCCTTAATGCTTTCCATATCGGATGCTTGATGATTCTTTGGCCTATAGCCAATAGCTGCTTGCGCGACCTTAGTGATATCAATGTTGGCTTCAAAGGCATTTGTTGTCTTTGCTCCATCGATAGCATCTCTGTTGTCCATCACACCTGCTTGGTGGCTCATGGCGAGCAGATTAGTGAGGCCTGCGAATACCGGAAGCTGCAATTCTTCTTGTGGTTTGGACCCCCACTCTTGCAGCGTGGCTGGTTCCTCCCCTGGAAGTTTCGACTGTTTCATGAGTTCAGTTATCTATGTCTGTTATCGGCTAGGATACCTTGGGTACATTAGTGTGGACATGGTAGCTGAATTTGAAGGGGAAAGGAGAGACAAATTGAGCTTGGTTGGTCCAGGTCAAAGAGACAAAACATGAGAAGTTGATCGGTGTTTGCGGTAGGACGACTTATCGCGAAGAGACACAGGGCGCTTAGCGCGATCTGAGTTGGCGCTGCAAGTCACTCAAATGCGCTGTGTGTTGTGAATTTGCATTAGTAATCGTTAATCAAGCTTTCAAGTGCTCCTCTTGTGAATTAGTGAACTACGTATTTTCTTTCTTCTTCTTCTTCTTCTTCTTCTTCTTCTTCTACTGGACGAGATGATTCGGATTGATGAGCATGCATTGATAGAGGCTTTTTCCAGCCGATGTCTTTCTTTGTGCCAATTTGTGCTAATTTGTGCCAAGGGTAAAGTGCTATTATGAGTGGAGGACTGAGAAAGCTAAAAGTATTTCCTATAGGACCGCACCCGGATCGGCTTCTCGTTCCGTCCCGGCTGCCGTACAACTAGGCGTTCTCCAAGTCTCTTTACACTACTTGTACCTTACCTTGACCATGTGACATGAGAATCACCAATCACCATCACATTGCTGGTTGCGTCAGCAATCACAACTGAGCAGAGCTTGAGGCGGTACACCGGTACGAGAGGAAGCACAAAATGCCTGTTGATGGAAGATTTCTGTACAGAAGTGGCTACTGCTGACTGACATCTACCTCTGCAGCCCCAGTTGCACCCCCATATCCCCCAGCGTCTCTACCGCAGCTTCACCCCCAAATTGCTCTACAGCTATCCTCCTCATTCACGTCGGATGTTCACCACCTTCAGCCCTTTATTCACAAATACTGGCTTCCGAAAACCCTAAGGCACAGCTCTCTACCACAACCCTGATATACGTCCTCTACTCCTGACTGAAACACCTTCAGGACAAGATCATCAACGCGCGGCTACAAAGTTTATTCTGAAGCAAGATATGATGGGTCAGTCCTAAGGAGAGCTAAGGGTGGAGGAAAGAGGTGTTACTGGAACCCTACAAGGGACATTCAGCATGAACATGCCATATGTCGTGAGAGTTATGTATGAAGTTTGCAGGGTTTCAAGGCGCTTACAGAATCCTGGGCAGTAATCTGTGTCATTGGCTCGATTCAAGATGGAGAGATGTCTACAAAATGGCCAGAGCATGGGTGGAACATTGCCGGTCACACAACACTGGCCTAAGGCTGACCTCTGTTAGAAGAGTGGAAATGAAGCGTGAGTAGGTTTTCAGAGTTACTCTACATCAGTTCGACAAAGCGCACAAGGTCCTGCCGGTTGCACCCTTCATCAGGCTATAGATACAGCCTCTAAATAGTAAAGTCAGCGATAGTGAGAAGCACACAGATCTATGTGAGCTACAAGCAGACTATTCAGGGAACAGGCAGCGAAGAAACAAAGGACAGTAGCAATCATAGGCGGGAAGACAAGGGGAGCACCAGACATGTCCAACACAGTCTGCCTTCAGACAGTGGTTGTGAAGTGAGAGGCACTCCGCTATCAACACCAAGTCATAGTCATAGCCAGAGCGGAAATCACTTAAGGGTGCAAAACATCCAACAGGAAGAGTACCCCTCCATTCAGAAAGTCACTAGGCTGGACCCGTTTGTTGCCATGTATCGCAACACAAATACTCTTTCTTTTCACAATCACTGTCTCAGACAAAGCAGTGTAGAATTTCAACCTCATGTCTTCGTGAAACAACTAAACAGTCATGAACTTGTCTAACAAGATCGCTAAATAGGGTCTCCCACCTACCCTGAGCTGTCCTGAGAAAGTCCTTTCTTTCTCTTGAGCACCTGACGCCACCCTACCTCATCGGATATGCCGTGACACCTTAATTTTGGAGCAAGAGATTTCCAGTGACCTTTTCATCCACGCTGAACACAGCCTACACGCAAAAAGACCATCATTCAAAATACCTATCGAGGTCGCATCGCCGCCGACTGTACCACCATGGTGGAGAGTCAATACTCACCGGTCAATCTGTGGCCTCCACGGCTCCTACAAGGTACTGTTACCATGCCTTGGGATCTTGACAGATACCACGGCAAGAATGCAAAGCTGCCAGGAATGATCATGTTCTGGGGAACAGAGACCAGACCAAACCCATCTTTGCCTTCTCGCCTCTTTACAATATCTCTAGACATCCTTGAACACCTCCTTGACCAATTGACAAAGCGAGATGCTTTCCAACTTTCGCAAACATGCAAAACTTTCATGCGGCATCCTGTTGTCTTGAAAGCAATATTCCACGAGCCAATCAGCATTGCAGAGATCGAATCGTGGTATCGAAGATTGCCCAGTGGTGGAATGAATGCCAAAATGATGATGGGTCCTCCGATTACATGGGGTATCAATGCATCTACAGGCCCGCTGGTGCGCCGCCTGGCAGTACCAGAATGGATCTCTGAGCAGGACATACACTACCTAACCGCTCACTGTCCTAACCTGCATGCCCTCGACTTCACGGAGACCTTCGAATCTGTATCTCATGCAGTGGGACAGGACGAGGACGAGGACGAGGACGAGGAAGAAGAAGACATCGACTCTTGGCCTCCAGTGCTCGACCGCTGTCCTACCCTATTCAGAAATCTCAGATCAGTTCATCTCCCTTATGGCTGCTGGAAGACGGTGTATAGCCGTCCGGATAGCTACCGGCAAACACATTCAGCGTGCCTGCCTAAATTGTTGCATCTGGCTGATCATCTCCAGAGTCTAGAGCTTACCTGCCAACAAGAGCCGACACTAGATCCATCTCCAGAAACCCGCCGGAATGCGTCAGCCAAGCTTGTTGCTGAGATCTTGGATAATGTTAGCCGAGAACTTACCTCCCTTGCTTTATACGAGTCCGAGTCCACCATTGAGAACCTCGACAGCTTCTTGCGGTCGCTAGCGATCTTCCCCAAATTGCGAACCATCAAGCTTTCCCTCCACCGCGATCTTGACATGTATCAGAGGGATTCGCAACCCAAGTATGGCTTCGATCTTATCATAGCTCCCATTTTGTCCAGCCAAACCGAAGACTACAAGCACGACACAGCGTCCGTTCTACAATATCTTTCGACTGTCAGGAAGATCAATGATCGAGGAAGATTCTCGCTCGTGTCTAGTGACCGTGGAGAGACTTATCATTCGACGCTCAGTGATTACTATGGTCTTTGCCACACAGAGGTAGTGCATGGACCCCGCGATGACCTTTGGACTCCAGTCTGGACTTGGAACGACCGCTTGGATTGGGTCGAAGGCCATAATCATCCTTCAGTCGAAGTCGTGGATATCGGGAAATGTCGTGCACTCTTCGAGGAACTCACCAAAGCACGGATTCCCGTCTCCGTTGAGCTTGAGCCGCTTGGCGCTTCTTCTCTCTTTGCCGGTCCGTGGGATGAAGGTGTTTCGCATCAACGCTACGGTGGAAGTGATGATGTCGAAAATGTGTTGGATGGATATTTCCAACCTCTGCCAAGCAATGGAGCGATCGTTCCAGTAACTCGCGATCTTGCACGACATCCCAAACAGCATTTCGTGCAGTGGAGAGTCTTGACTACGATCCCGTCGAAGAACCCTTGGCGGTATTACGGCATGCCCACAAAAATTGACGACCAAAATTTCCGGACGGTCTCCGTCGATCTTGCCGCAGCTGAATACAAGCTCGGCTACGGTGACTACAAAGACAAGAAGCAAGCTGAGAACACAGCTAAAAGCGATGCAGAACCCTATAACAGACCAGCCGCCTCTAACACAACCCACGCCAAGACTGAAATTCCTGATCCTGTCTGGCGATTGAACGAGATCGGAGACCTGGTAGATGACCTTCGCTTAATTTGGCACCGAAATTTTGCCTATGTTTACACCAGAATGTTCGCCGAGTCCTGCCACCCAAACCCTGACTGGGACGAATGGTCTATGCTCATGCACAAGTGTAAAGTGCACTTGAGGGGCCGACTGTGGCGAGAGGCAGAATACACCGCCCTTCTTCTCCGACGTATCCCGGTCGACTTTCCACGCCTGACTCGACTTGCCCTTTACATGCCCACAGCCCTCTACCCGGATCACGATCAGACCTTCATCAATCGTGCACTCCCTGGTACAGGTTGGACCGTCAAGCATTACGGCCCAGTGGGTGAAGATCCGCCGATTCCGTGTCTGAACGAGGCTTGCTTGAAACTTGCGGACGATATCTGTCCGTTCACCCGCCGTATATTCACCAGACCAACACCGACCGCTGATCCCTCCGCGGTCATTGTCCATGATGACGAGTGGCATCGGACCATGCGGCCGCTGTTCGATCTTGATGGCGAGTATAAGAGCATGGACCAACTTCTCACAGAACCTCTCTGGGAAAATTACACAAAGGGGGAGGACTAGCGGAAAATGTGGCAAACGCCCAGATAGTAGATAGAGGCTTAGAGACAGGCAGGAGAATTCGTGCAGCCATGGCATACCTTTCTATGCTTTACAATGCCAAACACCATTGATTTAAATTACTTTTTCATCCAATAGTTCTTCTTCACCGGCTCTCTCCCAAGCTTTGCACCATGTGACACAATGACACTCCCCAAGACCACCCCCAAGCGCAAATAAGGCGGAATTGTGGATAAGACATGTTGTGTCTGTAGCCAGATCCCTCTTTTCAATCTTCTAAAATCATCACGTCAACGAGGGTATGCTTACACGGTACTGATGCAACGGCCAAGTCACGTAGCCTTTCTTACGGCACGTTTCTTTCCACAGTTGTTTCGATCGTCTATCCTGTCGCACGTGCTGAACCAATAGAACCAAATGGGTTCTGCGAGGTAACGACCGAGCCCGCTTGGTAGCCTGGGAAGTCCCCAGTTCGTGCATATGCAGTCAAAAGTGTTTCATCTTGTCACAGCCTTGTTGGATAGGTCCATGGCTTCCTTTCTACCGCTACGTTCTCCCATTGGAACCGGATCTCAAACAGCGCATACGCGCATCACGCTTGTGATGCATCGTTGCATCTTTCCCTTCGCCGCCGCAAACCCACTTGCTCCGCTCGTTTCACTCAATTTTGATCAAAGTGACTGATAAATCCATCCTCGCGGCCTAAGAAAGGCGCATCTGACTATCGTAAGACAATAGCCAGAAATAGCCAGCACAATTTCCTCAAGACACAATCTATATGTTGATCTCATGGAAGAAGACCTACCTATTGCGATTGCTTGTTCGTTTACCGAAAACACTTGCTGTCGCTGTAATCGATGAAGTACGCGCGTTCTATCCGCGGGTGTCTTTTTCATAGTCTTTCGTGAGGAACAATAGTACCGCTGTCTACCCCGATGAAGTACCAGATTGCCATTCCATTCTCCACCGAACTGCGTCTGGTTGCCACACTCCCCAAGAACCACGCCAAAGTGCCAGTAGTACATGTGTCCATATACATCTCCTTTCACCAACACGCACCTTCAGCAGGCTTCCAAATCGGCCTCGCCGCAGCAGTGTTCGTCTTCATCCACGGGGTTCCTCATTGCTGAAGTCAGATCCCTTAGCGTACGTACGCGCTCAGATCCCCCCTTGCTCCTGTCATTTGCCCTCACTCACGTCGATCGCATCAGATCCCCAACACCAAAAACATCCATCTACTCCCCATGCCGATTCCCGTCACATTCGCCGCCAGCCCAATCGTGGCGGTCTGTATCGGACTCGCGGCCGCAGTACTAGAACTCGTCTGCCTCGCCACGCTCGCACTCGCACTCGACCTCACCACCGTCTGCGTTGCCACAAACGCATCACACTGACTCACGAACCCATCAAACACCCCCAGTGCCCATGTCGTAGTCCTATTCGCACCACCGCCCCACTGCTCATAGCAAAGACAGCTCGCTTGCTGACTGACAGCTTGATCCGTAAAGCTGGATCCGTCATTACCATTACTGCCACAGGTACTGTGATGGTGTAAGTGCTGGAGTCGGAGGAGGAAGTCAGGATGAGGGAGACGAGGGTTTCGATGGCGTGGAACACGTCGTGGATCCGCTCGATTATTTCCGCGGCTTGGTTTGCGTTTTCGTCAGAGTCGCTGCCGCCAGAAGAGCCGGTTGTTTCGCCAGGGTACGTCGTCCCGCTCGGGCACAAGGAACCGCAGCCGGAATCGTTGTCGTCGCTCTGGAGAGTCTTGGCCGGATGCATCACCTCCTTCTCTAGCTCAGCCTGCGTCACCTCCGGCGTCGGAGACCGCGTGTGGGACAAAAGGGACGATGGACAGTGTGACGCGAAGGAACAGAAACAGGGTGAGAAGGAGGCGCATGTTGGAAACGTGAGACGAGATGCGGTGTTTCTTTCTTCTTATTGTTCTTTTTCACCTCACCAGTTGTGATTGTTATTATCGCAGTAGAGATTGATGAACTAGGAATGCTAAATAATATCAGACACGCAATTCAAACACCAACGAACGGTACTATATAACCCAAGGTTGATAACAATCTGCGCGAAGCAGAGAATGGATCGGAATTTTATAGAGGTCATGCTGATGCAAATATATATGCCAAAGAATCTCGGCCGCTGCCTTTCATTCCAGCTCCCAGGCTGTGTCGGGAGGATGATGTCAGAATATCAGGTATGGTAGAATAAGTAGTGTGTAGATTGCATGAATTATTCTATCTCGGGACTCCCCTGGGCCAGTATTTGTACCCCTCACAAAATAGGTGGTTGTTCCCACAGGTGGCTGGGAGGAGGCTGGGAACCTTATTTTGACAGATGATTGGTGGATCTACAGCGGTATCAGTCTGTGGGTAGAAGAGTTCTGATCCTGGCGGCAGTGCGTCGCTGCAACTCTTCGGGAGACCTTGCTTGATTCATCGCTATGGAAATGCTAAGATTTCGAATATCACAGATGAGGCCTTCAGAGCGGAGAGTGTGACAGGTAAAGATTTGAAGCATTGTCCAGAGAGGACTCCTTCTTGTGCGGATATGACATGTCCTACCCAAATACTCCCTCGTTTGCAGTCTTGGGCTGCGGCAAATGAAATGAACTGAGGCGGGTTACTTGAAGTCGGATAGTTCTCTAATGGTCCAGCGTGCGCTCATAATTTTGCTGGAGAATTTCATTGTTAGTGTCGAGTTCACTCGCAGACCCTCGGTGCAGTTTATTCCTCGCACCCTTTCTTCGTGCCTTGCAGGCCCCTGACCTTCTGCTCTCGTGTCTCCCGGTCTCACCAGACGCATTGTTTTTCACAAGAAACACACTGTCGGTGTACACGTCTACGAAGTGCGCATTATAGGAAGTAGAAGAAGAAGAATAATAGAGAATTTACGATCCAAGCCTTGCGGCTTGTGGAGTCTGACGGATAGCGACTACAACATCTGCACCGCTTCAGCCCGAAACCGCAGATGCGGTCTATAGCACTTGCGACAAAAAATCTCCTGGAAAGTCTACTGGATAGAGAGTGCAAGGCGGAGCGTTCAGTCTGGGCCGAGAAGCCGACGGCATTATGCACGAGTACCCAATCTCACCCTTCAGCCTTGTCCTGTCAACATCAGACTTCATCTTCACGCGTACCAAATAGCTGCTCGAATATGCCCCCCAGTCTGACTAGGGCGGTGCTGATTTTCGCCACACTAAACAGCACAGAAAATGGAACGCTTTGGTACTCATGGTACTAACGATGGCAGGTAGCAAGTGCTACGAGTCTAGTCATGCAGTGCACTAGCGTATGGAGCCGGGCTGAGTGCATGCGTGCTGACTGAGATCGTCCGTGGGAATCTATAATACCGTTGATGTTTCCGCTCGGTGCCAGGAACCCAGCCTGAATAGAGGTCTGCATGCACTCAAGTTCCCTCCACCTTCTCCACTTCCTCGTAAAGCAGATACGTTTATACTCTTGACCTATGAAGCCCCCCTGAAACTGCAGAGATGTAAAAAGCGGCTGCGTACCAACTATGGCAGAACCCTTATCTACCGTCGCGAGTGGTATAGCTGTACTGAGCATCGCTGTCCAGCTGGCCGAAAGCGTCAAATCGCTCTGCGATTTCTGGACCTCCATCAAAGAAGCCCCGGAAGATATCCAGGCGATTTCCACCGACTTGGACCTCCTGTCGAGCGTTCTCACCCGCATCGCCTACGAGACGCAACACGTTGAGCCCGACGCAACCTTGGTGGCCACCCTGAATGGTTGCTGGATCAAGGTCAAAATACTCACTACACTCCTCAATGAGATAGAACCGGGCTTTGCTTCAACGAGGTCAAGGGTCCGCAAATGGACTGCTTTTAGGGCCGTCTTGAAACATGGACAGTTGATGAAATTTCAGGCAGCCTTGGAGAGGCTGAAAGGCACATTGTTGCTGGTGCAACAATATCAGTACAGGTAAGACTTGATGTATCTCATGTGCATGTAAGACAGCGCGCCGTTGCCCCTGCTCTGTGACCGCAACGAAGCCCCAAAAATATAAATAGAGCCCTCTATATCCTTTTACATCGCATCCGTGCTCCAAAGTGTGAATTCGATGCTAACCACGCCAAATATCTCCTAGTCGCTTGAGTCGAAACCGTCATATCTCCCTAGAACGGAGCTTGATGAACATTACTCAAAGTGTTTCCAGCTTGAGTATACAGCAGCAATCAGAAACAGCGGGAAGACTTCCAAGCGCGGTCTCGGACGTTCATGCCAATTCTGCTGGATTTCGTGCTGAAGAATGGGATGCCGCAAAGTCTTTTGCGGCAGATTCACAACCTACTCAAAACGACCCTTCTATTTCGGGTGAATTTTGGCGAAGACAGGCATGGGTCAAAAGCACTTGGAGAATGGAAAAGTCCACCATGGAATACTTCCTAGGCACCGTCCGAGCAGATTCAAATATACAACTACAGATACCAAGAGAAAGGCATGGTCTGACGCCTTACGAACGAGATCAATGCGAGCATGAGACCTCATATACCATCTATCCGGCTACATGGTTGGTTCGTATGGGAGTTCATTATGGCCTCCGTCTCAAGTTTCTCTCCTCCTCTACTCAGGGGTGGCAAACCACGCTGAAGGCCTTTTGCCCGGTACCTGACGACGCTGTGATCTTTGAATTCTGCAGACAGGGGAATTTACCTGCGGTCAGGAGTTTGTTGTCAGCAGGTCATGCTTCAGTCAGAGACACTGATTCTCTAGGATACACACCTCTTCATGTGAGTCTTTCGCTTGAGACTAAAGCTGAACTACAACCGGGCGTTCTCAAAATAAGCAGCATCTAACGTATGCATCAAGTTTGCTGCACAGAACTACCACCCAGAGCTTTGCAAAGTCCTTAAGAGTGCTGGAGCAGACGTAAGTACACTCACGCACAATGCAGAGTAAGCAAGCCTTGTATAACCCAAGAGAGCGAATATCACTGACTTAACACTCAGGACCCCAATGGAAGTCGCAGCAGACGGTTTATGGGATACCACCTACGCCACGCTATCAGAAGTTTTTGACACTCTTCGCCTTCTAACGGATTCGATGGATTTCTCAGACGAAAATGGCGATGGCTGGGGAGTCTTGCGGACGCTTTTTGACACTGCCCGCGGTTTACGCTGGAGAGATTGACGAAAAGCCTTCTGCTTTGGATGCTAAGGCAGTCGAGCTTTGAACTGAAGACATACTTTGTCGCGGAACAATTCGCAGCTCTCTTAAGCTGGACCCTATTTCCAGGTTCTCGGCCGTACAAGAAGCGTCTGACCTGCTTCTGAACCTGGGTGATGCAGAAACTATCAATGCAGGCATTCAGTTTAGAGATGGATATACCATACTTCACGACTTTGTAGCATATGCTTATCCAGTGAGCACAGTGCTTGCAAAAGGCCCAGATCTCCATCGGCGTGTCCTCGACTACGATTACACGCCGCAGGAAGAGTCACCGACATCACTTGCAATGTACTCGTCGTGGGCATTTACGGAATGGCTGCGTGGATTAGTCACTATTAAGGTGAAGTTTGAGGAATTCATAGATGAAGAACTAAAGAGGAACCCTTTGGTGCACACTGGCTGGGAGAAGGAGACTCTACATGACTTGTTCGCATATCATCATCGACCTGACCTCGATGTTGAAGGCTATACTTGCAGCGATTGCACCAAGCCTATTTCCTATAACGCAGTACAGCCTCATTGGCGACATATGCTTGAAAGGATCAAGCAAAGAATAGACCCTGATGGTCCGGGCCAGACTGATTCACAAGTGGGTGAAAAGGAGAACACAGACGTCAGGAAAATCGCAGAAACCGCAAGTAGCTCGGATGATCCGACTCATGAGCCTGATATGACTGGGAACGTCTTGCTTGTTGATTCCAATGAGCTTTTCTCGGAATCGGACTCGAAATCGGAATCGGAACTGGAAGAAGATGTCCACGGGTACCCAGCGATGGTACCAATTCGATCGGACTGCGTGTATGCCCCCAACGAAGTGATATGCGTTGACTGTTGGCTTCACTATAGGAAGACTGGGACTCGCAGGCCGCCACTCCCCTGGAAACGGCGTTTCGCGATAGGCTCTGACGATGATGCCTCGTTGGACGAGTACTCGTCTTCTGGAGATGAGTCGTCAGAGGATGAATTCTCTCCTTACCACATCCACTCATAGACATCATATTGGTTAGGGAGAGTGTGCTTCTTGGATGCAGATGGATAATACAATGGATACACTAGGCAAATTGTTAAGAGGAGCAGGGTGTCCCAGCACATTCAGCAAGTAGTCTTTATACAGGATGCGGAGGTATGGTCATACTGGGAGTGAGCAACCACAAGTCATGATAGCATCCGACAGCCGAGAGGCTACCCATCTCACTCAGCCTCACGCTTGTTCTCTTCTTGACCGACTCACCCCGTTGATTCCATTTTCCTCATATTCGCAAGCCCTGTCGGCGCATGGAACAATAGATCCCATTCTACAAAGACGTTCCCGCGTTGGCTAATCGAAAAATTGAAATAGCGGACACTCTTCCTCCTCCTCAAACTTAACCCCCTCCCTTCCTTCAATTCGCACACGCAGCACCCATTCCAAGTCTTACTGTTCTGTGGACCTCTACAATATCCATTCAGGTTCCCTAATCCAAAAACCGCTGTACACGGAGCTCACTTCGCATCTGCATTTACACACTCATGCTCTCAATTTGGACGGCAATCCCTCTCAACGTCCCCGCACACGGAGAAATTCAGAACTCTAAGGACGCTACAATGAGGATGGCGTCGCTCATTGATTCTTCCGGCAGTACTGGCTTCCCCAAGGGAGTGGGACTCTCGCACTATCAACTCATCGCATCCATTCTACAGTCTCTGCCAGCAACGCAGTCCTGCCACACGGTACTCCAAACCACGAGGGCGCATCGGCACCTCTCTGCCACATGTCGATATCGCAAGCGGTCTAACAATCTAGAGCATGTATCAACCACCCTTTCCAGAATCTGCCCTTCTTCATAGCGAATCACAGTGATTTCTTCGTCGGCGGTCAAGAACATCTCGGATCTCAAAGTCACAAGTCTTCTCATCATCGCAAGCTTCCTCGTCGCAATGAACAAGAGACCAGAGATGAGGGAGAGGCTTGAAGAGATCTCCTCCCTCAGATTCGTGGTGCTAATTGGCTCCCCCATCGACTATGGACAGTGCATTGAGTTCACCGAAATGTGGAGTAAGAAACCTGGAAAGACTTAGTTGCTTCTCAAAGCTATGGAATGACGGAGTACGCTTGCCCCGCCCCAATTCCAAGCCGAGCTAACATTCCCAAGGCTCGGAGGCGGAGTAGCCATCCGGAGCATAGACAACAAGAACGGTAAAATTTTGCTGATTTCTAATATCGACGCTAAGGTTGTCAATACCAACGGAGAAGAGGAGGGCCCCCGTGGAACCGACGGGGGAGCTACGTATCCGCGGTCCGAATGTTGCCAAGGGCTACTGGCGAAACCCCAAAGCGATCGAAAAGCCATTCGCGAGGGATGGATGGCCGAGGACCGGGGATGTTGCCACGGTTGACGGGTCTGGGGATCTGAGCGTTCTCGCGCGAGTACAAGTGAGTCTGCTTTTTGCCCAGCATGCGATGGCATACTTACTTACCTAATCACTCACTTATTTACTTACTTACTTACTTACTTACTTACTTACTTACTTACTTACTTACTTACTTACTTACTTACTTACTTACTTACTTACTTACTTACTTACTTACTTACTTACTTACTTACTTACTCACTCACTCACTTATCTCCCTGCCTCTTTACCTACACACATACCCTCCCTCCCTCACAGGCCTCGCTATCATGTCCCGCCTCTGCAATCTTCCATACATACCTCCCCTTCTTTCTAATAAACCTTCTACATCCCACTCACTCTTCTTCCTTCCTCCCATCCGCGACGGGAGCCTCTACAATCCATCTATCTATCTACTAATATATTTTGAGCGGCATCACGGCCGGCCTAGGCGGGAGGTGAGAGAATGAACGAGTGAATGGATGAAGCAGAGAGAGAGAGAGGGAGAGATGCGTTTCTCTGCTCGAGGGAGATTCCTTAAAGAGAGAGCAAGAAAGAACCCGCTGGTTGATTGGGGTCACGGGGTTTCATACCATGTGTAGTTGTGTTACGACTTTGCCTGATCTGATGTGATCGGATCGGATTCAGTTCAGTCTATCAGTCTGTCTGTCTGTCTGTCCGTGCTAATCGGACACTTGGCACAGTGTGCAGTCTGCGAAATGAGTCAGGGTTTGAGACAGAGGGGGAGGTGAGCAAGAAGCCTGAGGCCGGATGGACGGTGGGCGGGTGGGAAGCGGTGTTTCATTACCGCTTGCGATTGAGACTTGTCATGGATGATTTCATATCTGTTTTCAACGACCTTTGAAATTGTCTTCTCGCATCAAACCGGTCTAGAGCGAGGCCGATAGAGGAAACACAACACCACCGACAGTCTCGACTACCCCAGCAACTCCACTCCATGTCCTCCCTCCTTCCTCGACGGCTTAGCGATCCGGAATCTAATACTACTGTCTACTGCCCGCACCGGTGCGGTGAGATACAGAGCGTCCACTTCCGCAACGGGGCGGCTCCGTGTTGGAATAGCGGCGGGTTCGTCCCAGTCGTGCTACAGGACGGAATTCCTGACCTGAAGAGAAGACGGCCCCGGCGACAACGTCGGCCTCGTACGATGCGAGAACAGATTTGCCTTTCTCGTAGTATTCATTCAAGAGCGCGGTCTTAGTAAGCGGCGTCGTGTATAGCGTTATCAAGACCTTGCCCGCGCTCTGTCGAAAATATCTTGGTCGGTGTTATGGAAAGAAAGAAAGATGCAAAAAGAGGTGGAAACAGTCGATATCGTGTAGACTCGTATATTGCTTCGGACAAGTCATCGGATGCGCAGCGGCCCCCGGCCAAAGTCACACCCCCTTGCTTGTCGTCCCCATTCAACACTCGGCCATTGAGAAAGCCTCTCGGACCAGATGACCGCATCCTCAGGCGAGCCGAACGAAAAGGTTCAGCCATCCGCTCGCCGTTCCCGTTCCACGCTGCGTGTGTCAACGAAATCGCTGCCTTCTCGCCGAAAAAATCATCGTCGGCCACCACTGCCACGTCTCCGGCCCGCTCGTGGTCCGGTATAGCATGAGCGGTCTGTATCATCGCTCGTCAACGTATTTACCTCCAAGAGGGATATTGCATGCATACTCGCTTGGGACGAAAGCACATACTCGGGCCGGATTGAAAGTTAACCTGGCCGTGCGGTTCAGCGATTACTTTTCGTGCAGCGATATCCGCCGGGGATGTCAGGGTTGCGCGACAGCCGGTGATAGGAAGGGGCTGCAATGCTGCTTTTTGCTGGGCCAAGGAGGTGTTCGCGGACTTTGCACCGGCGAGCGGATTATCAGTGGCACTGGAGTCGTCGTCGAAGGTGGCTGTGACTGTGGAACCCTCCTTGTCATCGGGGATGTGGGAAACCAGCGCTGAGCCTTTGTGCCACGCTAAAGCATGCGTCGTGGGTAAGAGTATCGTCGTCAGAAAAACATCAAGTGCCTAGTCTCGATGAGTCGCTGACCTGCACCAACCTTTCTACCAACAGAGCTCTGAACGCTGACCTTTTCAACCGATGCACATCTGGCGTCGGCATGCGAACGAGCTCGTCAGCCGTTTCGCCATTGAAGAATGCGTTCCTTGTCTTTCCGGCTGGTTATCCGCTCAGGGTCGAATGCCGCCGTGTTCAAACTGGCACGGAGGGTTAATCGAGACGGGGCGTGTGGCCAAAAGACCAGTCGCGCGAGCGCCGATTGAGGTAGGGGAGTCGTTCGAAGACGGTGCGTTTGAAGGTATGAGCAAGGATCGTGGAAGAAATCGCAACGGTAGCGAGATACCGTCTTGAGTCTTTGCGCTCGCTACCAGCGGTCCTATAGAACAAACCTGGCTTTCACCATAACAACCAACTCATAGCAAAATTTGAGGTCGTCGCGGAAGGTTACACACCAGCTGCGATGACCAGGATGTTGAGAACCGGTCTTCGGTTTCCGAATCGGCCCCGGTTGGCGAAGAACCTGACGTGAGACCAAAAAAAATCCATCTCGTTGTCTTTTCTTTTCTCCTTCTCTCCTTTCCTTTTCCCGTAACGATCCATCCACGCCAAAAGAAAAGAGAATCCCAGCAATGCCCAGCGGCAGTAATAGATAGACTTATACACATCACCGACCCCTTTCTTCAACAAACAACAAAAGATCCAGAGATCGAGCCCGGCGTAAAAGAGAACGGTGGTGGTGCGTAATGCCCCAACGATGATAATCGGGATGCTTGGGATTGGAGCGCGATCGTACTTGTACCAACCAACTACCATCTAGGCCTCCTGGCTCGGCATGCTCTACATACACGGTCCTAGAATTAGCGTACATATCCGAAATCTCGTTCAATCAATCAATCTATCAATCTACCTTGCCCCCTTCTTCCCCCCTCCAACCCATCCCTCCGATTCCAAAAAAACAACCAACCCCCACCTCCAAGTCATCCCCTCCCTCCCCCCCCTCCCTCCCTCCTCCCTCCCCTCCCTCCAACCCATCCATCCACCACCGACTCATGAATGAATGAATGTTTCCGGGGGCCTGAGCACCCCCCCCCCCCCTCCTCCTCCTCTAAACGGACCTCAACGAGTGCGATGCGCACGAGACGGAGAACCGAACCGAGGTGCAGTCCGTAGGTAGGGAGGGGCTGGGTAGGAAGAAGAAAGAAGAAAGAAGAGAAGGAGAAGAAGAAGACGACGAAGTAAAGGAAGTAGAGGAAGTAGAGTAAGTAGAGGAAGTAGAGGAAGTAGAAGGAGTAGAAGAAGAAGAAGAAGAAGAAGAAGAAAAGAAGAAGAAAAGAAAAAAAAAGAAGAAAAAAGAAGAAGAAGAGAAGAAGAAGAAGAAGAAGAAGAAAAAAAAAAAAAAAGAAGTTAAAAAAGAAAAAGAAGTAGAAGAGGTAAAAGTAAAAGAAGAAGAAGAAGAAATAAAAGCAGAAGAAGAAGCAGAAGAAGAAGAAGAAAAGAAGACAAAAAAAGAAGAAGAAGAAGAAGAAGAAGAAGAAGAAGAAGAAGAAGAAGAAGAAGAAGTAAAAGAAGAAGATAACAAAAACGAAAAAGACGAAGAAGAAGTTAAAGAAAAAGGAGTAGAAGAACTAAAAGAAATAAAAGCAGACGAAGAAGACGAAGACGAAGAAGAAGAAGAAGAAGAAGAAAAAAAGACGAAGAAGAAGAAGAAGAAGAAGAAGAAGAAAAGGGCCGTTTTACAGAAAATCGGGGCGAGCGAGAATACCGATGCGGATACCGATGCGGATGCTTTTGGGAAGAGAGGAAGGGAATGCGTGTGTGAGGTGGTGCCGTTCGAGTGGGTGAGTGAGCGAGTGAGTGGGTGAGTGAGCGAGTGAGTGGGTGAGTGGGGTGGTACCGGGTGAGTGGGTGCGCGGAGGGAGGAGGATGTGCGCGGAGGAGGATGGTGCGCGGAGGAGGAGGATGGTGCCGGGTGAGTGGGTGGAGGGAGGATGGTGGAGGGAGGATGGGAGGAGGAGGAGGATGGAGGGGGAATGGGAGGATGGGAGGATGGGAGGATGGGAGGATGGTAAGTGGGAGCTGGCGAGGGTGGGAGGAGGGGAAGGAGGGAGGAGGAGGAGGGAGGATGGGAGGATGGGAGGATGGTGGATGGGGGAGGGAGGATGGTATGTGGGAGGATGGGATGTGAGAGCTGGCGAAGGTGGGAGGATGGTATGAGGGAGCTGGCGAAGGTGGAAGAATGGGAGGATGGGAGGATGGGATGATGGTGGAGGGAGGATGGTATGAGGGAGGATGGTAAGTGAGAGCTGACCAAGGTGGGAGGATGGGAAGGAGGGAGCGAGCGAGCGTGTTCCGTCCGGTCTGTCTGGGATGAGGGTGGGAAGGAGCATGTTCCGTTCGGGGATGGGGATGAGGGTGTTTGTAGATACTATTGTTGATTAGTATGTATAAGAGGAGACTTGTGATTGAACTACGAGAATGTTTGGGAAAAAGGGATGGAGAGTTTGGAGTGAAGTTAGATAACTTTGATTGATGCTCGCTAATGATCATTCGACTATGGACAGTAGAGATTATGGATTAGGTCAGGTAGGCGCGGAGCCTAGATGCAGACTTTTTGGGATGTTCAATCGTGACCGCATTGGAACCGTATGCATCGCGTGATATTTCAAGACAGGGATTCCGCCATTATGCTGCCGATGTCTCCTCTTTTTTCGGCAAAATCAAAACTCCGTGGTGTAAATGCTGACCATGCTCTTGTGCCTTCGTTCCGCCGCGTCGCCATCCTGTCGTGTGTCCCTCTGTCGCTTGATCTCGTCTCCTCCGAGCGCTGCTGCATGGCTACTGGTGCTGTGGGCAACTCAGAACAGAGCGAATGCAGCGATACCAGCAACCACTGCGATAACCTTGCCACCCACAATGACGGTGCTTGCAGCACCCTTGAAGGTGGTAGCTGGTGCAGTGGTCGAAGAGGTCGAAGAGGTGGAGGAGGAGGAGGAGGAGGAGGATGAGGAGGATGTAGTTGATGCCATGGAAGCGGTAGCCGGAACTGTGGTGGAGTTACCGACTGGGAAGGGAGCAGGCGTGACGGTAGTGGAGGTCGCTGGTGGTGCCACTGGTAGTGGTGTGGTGGAGGTAGAGAAAGTTGAGGTGGTGCTGGTGCTGGTGCTACTTGAGGTGCTGGAAGTAGACGAGGTCGTTGAGGTCGTTCCAGGTGTGCTGGCAATGGGAGTAGCGCCGGAGCCCTGGCACGGGAAGGTGACAATGTAGATTTGATGACACTGCGCACCGATGCTGATATCATACAGGTTTGAAAAGCTGCCACTTAGACAGCCAAAGAAGAGAGCATTGCCATTCAGCGCCAGGGAACCGTTGGTGCAGACGGAGAAGCCCGAGGTGGTCGGCCCTTGGACTGGGTTGTCGAACTGGAACTGGTGGTTGGCGACGACTTCACCGGTCCGGCCTTGCTGATCGGTGAGGACACCATTTTTGAGGGTGACGATGGGGTTGGTGGTGCAGACGGTTTCGCCTTGGGAGGGAATGGATTGGGTGATGTTGTAGGGAGCGATCTCGAAGGTGCCGGAGTAATTTTCATCGCAGCCACTGGACCCTTGAGCGGAGACGGTGGAGGCCAGGAGGGCGAGAAGGGTGACGGCGGTGAAGGACTTCATGGTGACTGATGCTTTGAAGAAGAGGTGAAGAGGATGATAGGAGATGATGGCGGTAGAATTTTTGTGAGGCGAGGTTTGGGAATATTAAGCTATGCAAGCAAAGGCAAGGTAGCGAATGAGTCTTGTTAGCTTAGCTATGTAGCTATGTAGCGAGTGTAAATTTGCAGCGAATGTATGAGTTGTGAGGATATGTACTGGAGTATGGTGGATGATGCAAAGAATTAGATGTTGTGGATGATGATGATGATGGTGATGGATTAGAGAGAAGAAGAAGTAAATAAGAAAGGAAGAAATTTGTAGCTTTGGGAGGTGGGTGCAGGTACTTATCCAATTGTAGAAGTCGATGACACTGTGAATTACGCGGCGGGGGGGTGGTTGGTATTGGTCTGTGTTTAGAGTGAAAATAATAATACGAAAAAGGTGGGGCGGGGGGGGCTAGGGGGCTGGACATGCGCTTTGGTGGCAGGGATCTTTAGTTTGCCACCCCGCCCTCTGTTGCTTAGCTTAGCTTCCTCCCCACCATGAATCTCTCATCTAGGTACAATTGAATCCTCAATACCCTCATGATGATTGAGGCGAGTATTTCATTGTTACAATACTTAATTATGAAGCATTGATGTATTCTAAGTATTCACTAAATCCTGCTGCATGTACAGCTAGCTACCTTACTTTACATGTAAGCTACCCAAACACCTCGGCCCCAGTCGGCGCGATGACGAAGATTACCTTTCCCATGCTCCCTAAATAGATTTCTTGCTAGGGGTATGAACTGGGTACCTATCGATAGGTAGCACGGGTAGGCAGACATACACTAAGATAGTATCCTTTTTTAGCGGCAGAGATAGCGATTGGCGCAGAAGTTATGAGGCTCAAATACTCACAATGACAATCATTTGGTAATGATCAGCGATTCCCTGCTTCTTTAGCCTGGCCTAGCCTCGCTCATTTTTCCGCCGAAATGGAACCCAGTCCCACACAGCGCCGACTTTGCCTGAAGGAGAAAATGCGAAGCACCGCAACACCAATGTACCAGCGCCATTAGGGATCGAACCTAATACGAACTAAATATCTCCCGCCAAACAGAAGGAGGAAAGACCTTAAAAGGTAGTAACGAGAGACGTTAAAAGTTAAGGTGTGTGACGAACCTATCGCAAAGCTTCCGGAATCCAGACAGTCACAGCTCTGCCTCCGTCTACTTGGCACCTGCATCCTGCCGTCTGCATGCAAGAAGACTGCGCACTCGAGGGGGGGCGGCTCCGAAATGCTTCTTCTTTTCACAACCTCTCACATCGACAAATCGTCCTCACGTCAGACGCACATGGACGGAGAGCTGCAGGCCGCAGACCGCAGAGGCGCTCACTCTGCATGCTTTGGTTTCAAACCCTGTCTCAGAAATTGGGAAAAGACTCGATCTTGCGTCTAGCTGTGATTGAAAATGCGCCGGTAACAACTTCTGGCCGGCGCCGGGAACTCAACGAACTGCCTCGTCCCGCATCGAGTAAGGAAAACGGAGATGGGTGGTCGCGATCATCTTGCTTTGTGATATTTCAGGATAATAATAATAATAGGCTGCAGCAATTGTTATACTGATTGGCTGTCCGTGTGGCGGTGAGCTTGGGGAAAAGTATTGATCGCTCGCATAGCGGCTGTGCCACCGGAGCTCCTCCGCTCCCGAGACCCTCCCTCCATCCTGCCCTTCTTCCAAGACATGTGAATACCTACCTAAAAAGCGACTTCACCACGCGGCTGCACTGCCTCGGATACAATTCAAGACAGTCACGGCGGCAATATCGAGGATTATTCATATGACAGATCATTACTTTACGTAGCCGTAAATGGGCTGCGGCTGTGCCACCGGAGCTCATCCGGTCCCGAAACCCTCCCTCCCTTTCTTCCAAGAAATGTGAATCCACCACGCGACTTCACTGCCTCAGAGGAAACTTTAGAGAGGTCACGGCGGCGACACCACGGACAGCTCACATGACAGATCATCATGACCGAGGCAGTGAACAAGTTAACATTACCGCCGTGGCTCTAAACTCGTAAGGGTTTGAGGCAGTGACTGAGTGACTTCCCTTACCTTACCTTCTCATCATTACCCCCCCAGACTCGCTCTACCTTTCTGTTTCAAACCCAGCAAGCCGGCGCCCACAGTGACGAAGTCACAGAGCTATAAAACACCCCGTCCTTGCCGACACGAAAAATTATTCACGTCCTCTGAACGTCATCGTCGCAGTTCCCATCAAGACTCTCGGCTCTGACACCGTCGGCTAGTCTACGGTACGTTCAGGTGGCCGAGAAATCGGTTCATGGGGTAGGTATAGTACGCAGCGATTGATCTCTCTCTCTCTCCCTCTCCCCCTCTCCCCCTCTCCCCCTCTCCCCCCAGAAACATCCCTACCTGCACCATTCCCCCAGAAACATCCCTACCTGCACCATTTATCCCCATCCATCATCCATCATCCATCATCCATCATCCATCATCCATCATCCATCCATCCATCCATCCATCCATCCATCCATCCATCCATCCATCCATCCACCCATCCATCCATCCATCATCCACCATACAGCTATCGAAGCCATCCCTCCCTCCCCATCCCATCCATGCATCCATCCATCCATCCACTACACAGCTATCGAAGCCATCCCATTCCTCCCGACCCATCCATCCACCCATCCATCCACAACCCATGACTTAAATCCGCCCACGCCCCCTTCCGTCCGCATGGCGACTGACAAGACCCGAGGCCGGTGTTGCCGCGTAGGTGCGTGTTCGAGGATGTGAAGACTTTGCCGCGTAGGTGCGTGTTCGAGGATGTGAAGACTTTGCCGGGGCGGGGGAGGGGGTGAAGGGGGGAAGGGGGGAGGGGGCTAGAAAGGTAGGAAGTGGGGAAGGTAGGAAATGGGGAAGGGTAGGGAATGGGGAAGGGGGAGAAAGGTAGGAAAGGGGAAGGGGCTAGAGGGGGGAAAGGTAGAAAATGGGGAGGGGGAGAAAGGTAGGAAATGGGGAAAGGGCTAGAAAGATAGGAAATGGGGAAGGGGGCTAGAAAGATAAAAAACGGGACGATGGGAGGGGTATACAAACAGCGTTCTATCTGTCCAGATGAATGGAATGTGTGCAGAGTTTGGACTCACGGGCTAGCTGCTCCTCCTCTCAGATGATCATCTCACGTATTTCGGTCGGTGGACAATGTTTCCCGGGAGATTTGAACATATAGTACCAGAGCCGATATCCTCTCAGCACCCCTAAGTATCTATCCCCTCACAAAAGGATTCCCCAACTCCATGACCCCCCGCCCCCCCTCCCTTCCACACCGCGGTGCTTATCACAATGCCACCTCCAACCATCCTCCCGCCCCAACACCCAAAGCCCCTCGTCCCCTCAACTCAGAAACCTCGAACCCCACCCCTCCCGCAACGCCGCCACGCCCTCCGTGATCGGCCCGTTCGCCGTGGATGACCAGCGTCGGCGTCGTCCACCCGGCCGTGCGCCGCGAGGGGACCCGGTCCGCCCACCCCCTCGGCGGTCCGGGGTGCGAGGCGGCCGGACCCGTTCGACGAGAGCAGGGTCGTGAGGCCGAAGATGCGGGCGTGGCGGACGAGCGCTCTGGACCGCGCCGCGAACGCCGGCGGGCCCGCGATCCAGTTCACCGTGTATCCGCCGTAGCTGTAGCCCGTGGCGACGGCGCGGTCCGTGTCCGCGTAGTCCAGCGTCGCCCGGACGTGGTTGAAGCATCGGACGAGGTCGCGGTCCAGGCGTCTTTGACGCCGTCGATGGAGTCCTGCCCGAAGCCCGTGGAGCCGGTCGGGTTCGGGTGGACGACGACGTAGCCGCGACTCGGCGAAGACGGCCGGGTTCCAGCGCGTGCTCCGTTCGTCGAGGAAGGAGTCCTGGGGTCCGCCGTGGATCCGGAAGAGGAGGGGGTATCTTTTCTTCTTCTTCTCCTTCTGCATTTTGTCGTCCGCGGACAAGGAAGAGGGTTTCACGACGAAGGCGTGGACGTCGTAGGGGCCTGCGCCGGGGATTTGGATGTCGGAGACTTGAGGGTAGCGCTGCGCGAAGTGCGAGGAGCTGTAGTCGGTGTGGCGGGAGAGTTCGTGCGCGGTGATGAAGACGCTGTTTGAGGTCAGGCTGGACAAGGTGAGGAGGAGAAGAGCGGGGGAGACGGCGTGGACGGAGGAAACGCTACCCCAGGATGTGAGGGGTGATGGAGCGGCGGCCAACGTCGCTTCTTCTCCGGCTTGTTCGTCGGAGGCGGGAGGGACGGGGATCTGGAAGAGTTTCCTTCTGCCACCTTCTTTGGCGGTGACATAGAGGGTTTCGGCGTCGCTGCTGAAGGTCAGGGACAGGGGCTGCAAGTACCAGGATTCGGAAGTAGTGATCTCAGTGATGTCTTCTACGTCGTCGGTGTCACGAATTAGGAAGATGCGCGGTCGATCGAAGTCGCTGCCGGGCTCTTTGGTTCGAAGGAACGCGGCGGATGTGCCATCCGGTGAGAATGTTGGCGATGAAGCGGTGCCGTCGTAGTTTGGTATGGAGACCTTGTGAGGCGGCGATGCGGGATGTTCGGTGTATGTCTGAACAGGGATGTAGTAGAGCTCGTTTTTCAAAATGATGGAATGATTAGCGGCCGGGTCAATGGCGGTGAAAAGGATTCCGATGCCGAGAGATCGAAGTCTCCGCCGTAGAACGGGTCTGGATTTGGATGTTCTAACCCTGTGGTGCTTGTACCGTGGAGAGCGTTGACAAAGCCAACGGATGAAACGCCATAGCGATTTCCATGCTTCTCGAGCCTTGTGTACCAGATAGCGTTCTTCTCTGCCGTAACGTAGCGGTCCCAGATCCGAACGGGCAGTCTGTCATACTCCCTAGCTGACGACCGAGGCTTCTCGGCCGTCTCCGGATCAAAGAACGTTCCATCTGGCGAAGCTTGCCCGGTAACAGCAACCGCGAAAGACTTGTTGGAGAGCCTTTTCGTTCTCAGATTGAAAGCTGGGCCATCGATTGTGGTTAGGAGATACGCATTGGTAATTCGAGCGTTTCATTCGGAAATCTAGACGAAAGAGCTTTTAGCGGAATGAAGGCTTACTTCTTTTCCCCAACAGCAACGCCAAACCACACACCCGGCATCCCCCTTTCACCTTCTCTGAGCCATAGTACCTGCTCATTGTGCAGCCAAGCGACGTCTTATTTTTGGCGTCATCCTAGAAGAGGGTTGATGTCCGGCTAGGTAGGTCGAGAATTCGGATCTTTTTACCTTCGGAGTGGGGTTCCAGGGAGTTTGTGGATAATCTGTACAAAGCGAGTGTGCCATTATCGTTCGGAATTGCTGGCGTACGGCGGGGTGTAGATATGAAGGCTATGTGTTTGGTGTTAGAGCTGAGATTGAACACAGGTTGTACATGTATTAAATCTAGTACTCTAGAGTCAGTTTGTTCATCTTTTAGATCGTCAATGTGTCTATCCTTTTCCTCTCAAGTATCAAAGACGAGGTCAAGGAAAGAGGGATGTCGTAAAAACAACGTGGGCTCCCGTAAATACGTGCACTCCGTATTGAAGGATTAGGCAACAGCGAAGTAAGCACGGGTAAGAACTCATTGGGGATTTTCAAGCACGATGAGGTGATCAGTCAAGTCCCTGCAGTGTCTGGGAAATCCCATTGCAGATCTGGGCTCTTCCTGGATCCGCGGCACGCTTTTGAACAGTGTTCTATCCGTGAGGAGTGCCATGATCAACATCGCCCATACGTAGAGTAAGTCGAGTGGGTAGGGTGGGTAAGGGGGAGTAACGAATTCTGGTAGAAGGATGTGGATTTTCTATGGAGAAAGGCTTCGTCAAATAAGATACTCCTCCGAAGCCAAGAAGCTACACTACACATGGCTAGCATGCCTAAAGCTTCAGAAAGCACATTTCAACCGAGGAGAAAGGACTTGCAGTAACTGATAAGATCCCGGAGAGGATTGTGGAGCAGAGAAGAAAAGGACTCAGCAGGCTGAATTTGCAAAGGACATCGATTATGCGAAAGGTGTTGATCGGCGCACATGTAGAACACAAGCACCGGTGTCGGCGTCGTGATGGGTATCCTTTTGTTGGAGGATTTTGACACGGTCTGTAGTCCCTTCAAGCGTGCTAAGGTGCTAAGCCCCTTCGGGTTACTCGTATCTACCCCGGAGGACGCTTCGGAATTTTGAACAGGACTTCCGTCGAATTTCTACCATCAAGGTATTGAAATCAACACCATCATATCATGACTTAATGAAACACTATGAAACTAAGGGCTTTGGGTCTTTAGATACTTGTTATTAATGCTCTCAGTCACGATTTTTACAAACCTGATTCGTCGTTGTTACAAAGTGCAAATATCTTTGAAGATATCGTGATAAATTCATTAAGAAAGTGCGATTTTGGTGAGCGTGGCGGGGGAATCTCGGCTGCGGATTAATTAAACGAAAACTCTATTCCACCTTCAACTTGTCATAGCCTTACAAAACAAAGTTCGTGTTTCCTGCGAGCTTCTCTCCTCATGCAGACTGAGCCTTTTCAACATTCGAGTTCTCTTCTCTCATCATACGAACAATCACTTCAAGATGGGTCATCTCACTACGGTGGCGTAAGTTCACTATCTCGAGACCTCGTTCGATTGCGTACTTACCCCTTTCAGTGCTTGCAGCCTGAATCAGTGGGCTCTAGACTGGGAAGGCAACACGAACCGCATTATCGAATCCATCAAAATCGCGAAGAAAGCCGGAGCGAAGCTGCGTGTCGGTGGGGAGCTCGAGATTACCGGCTACGTGAGTTGGTTTGGGAGCTTCCATCACTTCAGAAAACCGTAGCTTATGCTCGAAAATCTAGGACTGCTTGGACCATTTCCTTGAGAACGAAACGTACCTCTTCTCATGGGAGATGTTGGCCCGTATCCTTGATGAGTACAATTGCGCTTCACCTTCTTCTCCGTGGGTTACTAATAAAATATAGCAAAGAATGTTATGGTTGCCTTCTTGACATAGGAGCCCCAGTGATGCACAGGTTGGACTGCCAATTCAAATATGCTTTTCTAGATTTGCTAAGGAGTACAGAAATTTGAGACTAAATTGCAGGATCCTTGCCCTTGATGGCAAGATTCTGCTCATTCGACCCAAGTTGTGGCTGGCAAATGACGGTAATTATCGGTTAGCAATTTCCTCGGCGTCTATCGCCAAGTCCAAAAATGCTGGAATTTGGGCTAAGCTTCAAATCTGTTCTTAGGGAGATGCGGTATTTCACCCCTTGGCGCGAGGGTCTCTGCGAAGACTTCATTCTGCCCCGATCAATGCAACGCCGTCAAGGGGCTGTGCGGGTGCCCATAGGTGATATGATTTTATCCACTGCAGATGTACGGGCCATCCCTGCTGCCTAATTTCTTTTTTGGTCCCAGCGCCAGGAGTTTCAGGGGGTACCTTCACCGTAAATGAAAAACGGCTTTCGAGACTCTTCACATATTCCCAAAACATATCCCAGAGAAACAGCTAACAGTCGTATTTGTATAGACTTGCATCGGTGCCGAAACGTGTGAGGAACTGTGAGTATCTTTCGGCGCTTTCCTCTTGGGCGATAACAATGCCAGGAAGAAGCTGACGTTCGAATACTACTTAGGTTCACGCCTGACGGACCTCATATACATGTATGCCATAAGCTCCATTGCTTTCTTTCAACATACTTCCGAGATGTACAGACAAGCAGCTAACATCGAGAAATCATAGATGGGTTTGCAGGGCGTTGAGATCTTCACGAATAGCTCTGCCTCTCACCATGAGCTGAGGAAGCTTGACAAGCGTCTAGCTTTGATCCTAGAGGCTACACGAAAAAGCGGTGGAATCTATATCTACGCAAATTTGAAAGGTCTGTAAATTTGAATCCTTCCATTGAGAGCGTTGAATCGCTGATAGCTTACAGGCGGTGGTGGTGATCGGCTGTATTATGATGGCTCTAGCATGATCGTGTGCAATGGGACCGTCAAAGCCCAGGGGTCCCAATTCTCTTTAGACGATGTTGAGGTCGTTACGGCAACCGTGGACTTAGAGGAAGTCCGAGCTTATCGCTGTAGCGCAAGCCGTGGTTTGCAGGCTGTCAGGCCGACGGAGCAGTATCGTCGGATCGATGTCACCGCATACAGTATGTCACCAGAAAGCGATGACTTCGACGCCAAAATTAGTCCTTCATGCCCGATCAAGATTCATGCCCCAGAAGAAGAGATCGCGCTGGGTCCAGCGTTATGGTTATGGGACTATTTACGGTAGAATTCGAGTTCCTATCAACTCGAATCTAACTAATGCAATGAAGCCGCTCTTCTCTCGCTGGCTTTCTACTCCCACTCAGGTATGCCACAACAGTTTACGTAACTACGCTTTGTCTAACGAAAAAAGTGGAGGCATTGATTCATGCGCCACGGCCGTCATTGTCAGCTCAATGTCTCGCCTGCTGATCGACGCGATCCGAAATGGCAACGCACAAGTCATCAGCGACGTCCAACGAATCGCAGGTGCCTATGAGAAGGAGGACTGGCTTCCACAAAGCGCCGAGGCCCTAACGAGGAACTTGTTCCAGTACGTATATCTCTAGACATCTAGAGGATTTGCATGCTCTGCAACTCTGCAAGACCTGATGACTGATCTAAACTACTCAGCACGCTTTATTTAGGCATGGCCACGCAGTCATCGAAGGAAACGAGAAGCAGGGCTAAAGAATTGTCGAAAGCAATTGGCTCGTATCATACCGATCTTGACATCGACGATGTCTTCAATGCGCAGAAGAACATCTTCACAAAGGCCACAGGCTTTGAGCCGAAATTCAAGGTTCATGGGGGATCGATGGCGGAGAATTTGGCACTGCAAAACATCCAGGCAAGGAGTAGAATGGTGACGGCATATGAATTTAGTCAGCTGCTTCCTACAATTGTATGTAAGGTCCTCGGCCTTCCCTAACGCTTTAGGAGGTCGATCCGCAACCTTGACAGAAGTGGTCGCTAACGCATCTACAGCGAGAACGAAAAGGAGGGGGTAGTTGCCTCGTCCTCGGTTCAGCAAATGCGGACGAGGCTCTTCGAGGCTATTATACGCGCTACGACTGCTCTTCCGCTGACGTGAACCCAATCGGAGGAATTAGTAAAACTGATCTTAAAAGATTCATTGCCTGGGCGTGTACGAATTTCGATCTTCCCATTCTCAAGGACTTCCTTGCCGCAACACCAGTGAGTGTTTCTTGACTCTTCATTCAATCTCTTTGATAGCTGACGCTGCGCGATTTGTAGACAGCAGAGTTGGAGCCTCTGGAAGGCGGTTACGTACAGTCTGACGGTAAGTACTCCGCTCTCAGCCGCTAAGCGCTAGTCGGAATATCTGCAAGGTTTTTACTGACTGCAAGAAGAAGCAGATATGGGACTACTTTATTCGGATTTGCAAGTAATGGGATCGCTGTATGTGATTCGAATCCTTCCTTTACCTCTTACGCACTTGATGGGGCATTTGGGCGCTGACCAATTATGTCCTCCCTTCTTTTGGAGAGCCGCGACGCCGCCATCACAGGGCTTTCCACTCTAGTGGCTCGCATTGCAGGTAGCTAATGCTTGATTGTTTGAACTAGTCGCAAAATTGAGAAGATGGGACCCTTTTCAATGTTTCAGAGACTTGTGCGTGAATGGACACGCGATAAGGGCATGACGCCGCGCGAAGTGGCGACGAAAGTCAAGGTAAGTCCGCTTATCAGTCTTCTGAGAGCAGCATGCTAATTATGCCCGTGACAGCGCTTCTTCCATTACTACGCCGTGAATCGCCATAAAATGAGCACACTGACACCTTCTTATCACGTCCGTGCTTCCTCGGCTGGTCTCTTGGCAATTTCGACCAGGAGGCCTTCCAACCTTGAGAGAGAGATAGTTGCTGACATTGTACGTTAGGCCGAAAGCTATGGGCCCGAAGACCACAGACACGATCAAAGATTCCTCGTCTATCCTCCGCTGTACGATAGCTTGCCCGCGAAAAAGATCGACGCCGCGGTCGAAAAGATGGAAGCGGAATGAGGTGGCATAGCCACCCTGACCACGGCGATCGTGGAGACCATGCAGTCACGACGGCCAGGAGAGCTCGACAGTGTCGCACTTGCACTTGTCTCAAGGGTTAGTCACCTGATGATA